CGCGCGGAGGGAGCAGGTGTAAAGAAGGTTAATGCGGTTCAGGAGATGCAGGCGATACACGATTAGGGAAATGATAAGGTGAGACTGAAAATGTGACATACAAAAGAGGAAGGTTGCCACGTCTTTTTCAAAATGAACTGAAAAGTAGAGCTGAATCGGCCTCTTGTACTTTAGCTAAACATTTTTATTGCACAAAATGTCATCTATTCAAACTTTTATCTACTGAAATTTGAAGTCCTTTGTTGATCGTTGCGTCCTTGGGCACGATGTCAAGTCACCAGCGTGTATTCATCTAAAGTACTATTATGTATCATCAATTTGTAAAATCCTTTGACGACACACTATGGGCATTCAAAAGTATTGAAAAGATAAGATATTAAAGGAAACTAACCAAATTAATGCGAGATATAAAATAACAAACACATTTGTCATCACTTAAGAATTTGTTGATATATGTTCAGTGATGCAAAGTACTGTTGACTAATACTGCTAAAGCCACATGTTAAATTACATATCACTCCAACTGAGGTGTCGCCATAGTAACACACAGCATTGAGCACAGATATATCAGTTTGCATTATCAACAACAACATATATATCGTGTTGAATATATGTAAATCTAGCTTTTTCTTCTGTGTGTGTGTGTGCATTTTGGCCATGACTTAACAGTTTTTTTGATTCATGTTTTTTGAGAGTGTTGAGGAAAAAATATTCATGTTTTCTCATGTGTTGTGTGTTTTGACACTTAACTTACCTTAACTATATTTGAAAGAACTTGTAGAGATTTGTGTCCCCGTATTTTGTCCAAAAATACCTTTTTTAATAATAATTGCTGTGTCATCAAAAATGGATATCAAGAAGATTTTCCTGTATCATAATTGAGTTTGAAATTCAGTATTGTGACCACACTACTCTAGCCTGGTTTTACCATACCCTCGTACATCCCGGGAAAAAAGATTTGACCGGAGTTTACGGATGGCAAAGGTGCAGGCTAACACTACTCCCACTACACCCAGAAATTGAGAGGATGAAGATGAATGAATTAATGAACGACAACTCAATATATAATTATCACTCTCTTAATTTCATTCAAACCGAAAACTTCACCAGAAATAAATGAACCAAAAAAAGAACAACAGATTTCAAAGTCATCCATATGCTTTCCTTATGGCTGGTGCATAAATCCCTGTTGCGGTACGAGGCTAAATGCGCTCTGACAGAATCCCTACGTGTTTCACCACTCCAATCATTGTTGCGGTTTGAGTGAACATCAAGTCCAATTATGCTGAGCCTTCTTCGCGGCTCGGGACAGCAGCAGAGAGAGGAACTTGTAACACGGCCCGCTGTGATGAGGCTCATAGTGTTCGTGCTGCACATACCACTGGGATTTCTGTGGAGATGGTATGTGACAAATACTAAAAGTCCAAACATGAATGGCATAAATGTTATCTTTCCTTACATTTCATTCATTTTTAGTTTAGGGACGACTGCATTCTAAACTTGGACTATATTACTCTGATTAGGTAAAAACAATTGTATTTCATTTTTCAAGATTTAACATTTATTATTTTAAGACACCCCACTATTCTGTAGGGTAAGTATTTTTTAACAATTTGAAATCGTCCCTCCCCTTGGGACAACTTCAACCTGTAAGATTTGCTGGAGGAGAATGGATGAACCAATAACGAGGGTCTCAAGGATTTTAATTTATTTCGACCAATCAGTGAGCTGCAAGGGTGAGCACGGGCGGGTCTAACCAGTGCTTGTCTTCAGGTCTTCAAGTTTCACTCTCACTTCACATTTGAAAAGTATTGTCCACTACTGTGTTAATAATAATAACTTCAAGTACTTAATAAAACTCTGCTGGTGGCCGTGGTTGAACTTTAAACTGGAGTAGGCCGGGATCATGATCATCCGAAAGGTCACCGGATATAAGAAAATAAATCTTCGGCAGTTATTTCCTTACGAATGGGACGAGAAAACTATAATATAAATGTATGGGTGTCCAAAAACCAAATGTAATACTGTATGTATTGAATTGGGAACATTTTGAACCTTTTAAATCAGGTTTCATTGGCCTTAGCTCCGTTGGATACCCAGCATCTACAACTTCAAAAATCAATTAAAAAAGGGCGATTCTCTTTCCTCTCATGCCCTGACCCCACTCCACTCCTCGGATTGGTTAATACTGTTAATTAAGCTTTAATGAAAACTACACATGCCATCAGTGCTTATTGCAAGTCTTTACAGGATGAGAGAGCGTTGGTTATACAGACTGACAGTGTTTGAATGCATGAAAGTGATGGTAAATGAGTTGAAAGAGTAGATTAATTATATTCACTCATTAGAACGTTTTATTCAAGATGTAAGAACTGTCGATCAACGTAAAATAGATGAACCGTGCTTTATTTAACATAACGTCAAGTGTGTTTCATAATAAAGTGGCAACGCAGTAATAGTGTTATTTCAATGTGCAATACTAGAAGTAGTAGCAGCAGTAGTAGTAATAGTAGTAGTAGTAGTAGTAATGGTTGTAGTGGTAAAGGTAATGGTAGCAGTAGTAGTTGTGACCATACATGCATTGTAAAGCCAGTTCCTGCCGGCCCCCTGAAATCTAAGCAAGGCAAGGCCTGGTTAGTACTGTGATGAGAGACCTCTGGGAACATGAGGTGCCACAGTGGGGCAGCTGTGGCTGTAATGTGCCAAAATGCGGTTGTGTCCTTAGGCAAGACATTTCACCCACATTGCCTGGAATGAATTTGGTGTGTGCTTGAATACTTTGCGGTGGTCAGAGCGGCCAATGGCACATACTGGTCGCCTTGCTTCTGTCAGTGTGCCCCAGGGCACACTGACAGAAGACACTTTTAAGACACTTTTACCGATGCACTTTTAGTTGCTTGGTTTATATGGGATTCGAAGGAGAGTTCTTGGTGGATTACGACTCCAAGATTCCTCACAGTGTTGCCAGGTGCTACGCTAATGTTATCGAGTGTGATTTTCTGATCAAGCAGCAGCAGTTGTAGCAGTAAAAGCAATAGTGGTAGCATCTGTCTATGGACAGATGCCTTGGAACATTAATACATGTGTTTCTCTGTGTAGATCAATTACTGTTCTTTTGTTTTCTTGTGAGATTTTCTGATTATTTGGCAAATCAACAATTCTCTGATGCTCTTTGAGACAACCTCTGTTGTGATTCTGATGCTACAAAAATAGCAGCTGTAGCAGTAGTAGTAATCATTTTTCTATGGTCATCATTTTGTTCACATACAGTAAGTGTTTGATGTAACGCTGTCATTGCTTCAGTGGCAGACATTTGCAGATTGTTGACGTTCGAGCACTCTATGACATAAATTGCTACAACACACATATTTGTTGACATCCATTTTTAGAGCTTATTTACAACTGAATGGCCCCGTGAGAATGAAGACGGCTCCTTCAACTCAAATGGGGCTTTCAGACTATCGCCAAACTGCAGGAGTAAAGACACATTCACTGTTATCAAGTGGTTTTATTGACTCTCTGCCCTCTTGTTGCTCTTCAAAACAAATGCACGGAGGCAGAGCAGAGAGTGAGAGCGGCTCTCCGACCTGCCGGCACAAAAGAGGGGCCAATAAACACACGCACTAAAAGGCAGATTGGAGTCCGGCAACAAGGTATATCCAAATCGAATTTGCAATGTGAAGGAGCAATTGGTAAAGACCGCATTCTGTCATTCGCATACAGTAAATGATCCAGTCTTGTGTTTCGCAATGCATTGGGTTCTCAACACTTCCATCAAATGTAAATGCAGTTGAAATTGCCATTGCATAAAATATGTCAGACTTCTGGTTGTTATGAATTCAGATTATTTGACATGTAGGCACTATATACAATGGCTATGTTTTGCAGATTTTTCTGGATAAAATGTTTCCATGATTTTTCTGCAGCGTGCTCATTATGTGCTGTGTGTATACTCCAACATCATATAATCTCTAGTCTAACATGACAGTTACCTTGATTTAAAGTCGGAAGAAAAAGGAGAACTACCTCGGTCTTCCGGTACACCCCAGTCTTGTCCTGCCCCTCAGTGCTGTGTCCTCTGCAGCTGTATTATAGTGTAAACATGGCTTTTGACAGCTGCAGCAGCGCTCAGACCGATTGCACTTCAGCAGCCATGAGTGCAGGGGGTTAGAAAAGTGTGTGATGAGGGATTTTACAGCCTTAAAACATGTAGCTGCTACTTTATGGATGTCACTTATTGCAGGTTATTTTTCAGAACGTAACCCAGTGATAAACAAGGCCCCACTGTATCTGCTTTATGTCTTTTTTTATTATTTCACTGATTCAGACTAGTAACTTTTACATTTTACATGCAGAAAAGTGCAAAAGTCCATGCATATTTATGTACAATGAATGCATGTTATTCATAATTGTGCTCACTCCACAGTCCAATCTATAACTGTAACTGATAAAATAATGAGAGGAAATGAGATTGCTTTAAAGTAACTCATAATAACTTCCCTGACCCTATGGCTATGGGCTCATCGTTATGCAATAATAAATCTAAACCTCTAGAAGCACTTGCACTGTAATGGAAGAAAACAAAAACGCTGATTTGGACTAGAAAACATGTAAAACATTTCACAATAGCAGTTGTCTCGGAGCACTTTACAAAGTTGTTGATTTGCCAACAACCAGATTGAAGGAAACATATAGTGGTGTTCTGGCAAATAAAGATTTCTTACTTAGTTATTAACTTTTTTTCCACAAAGTTCTCCGATTAAACTGCTCTTGTTTCATCCATCATTACTTTGCAAAAAAATGATTTGGTTTTGATCTTAATTTGAGAACATTCTGACTGTCTTAATGGCTTTTTTCCATTGGCAAATCATGTTTTAAGTGTTATTTCAAGAACTGTTGCTTTATTTTCTCATTCCAAGGGAGATTTTTCTTGTATTTTTCTTGCACTCTGGAGCCGTGTAGTGACTTGTCTCTGTGTGTGTGTGTGTCTCTGTGACCAGGCGAAGTGCTACGTCTGGGCCGGATCTCTGGACACACGGTGAATGGCGGCTGGACGGCGTGGAGCTCGTGGTCCCAGTGCAGCAGAGACTGTAGTCGTGGGATACGCAGCCGCAAAAGGACTTGCACTAATCCTGAGCCCAAGTACGGAGGACAGAGCTGCACGGGACCGGCACAGGAGTTTCAGGAGTGCAACGTCACGCCTTGTCCAGGTAACAGCGGCCTCAGACTTGACACTGAGAGTATGAACGCTCACAAACGCCTTGAAGAGGAGTTTATATTTTTGACACTTTAAGTATGATTGCCAGTCTATTTTAAAATGTTAAATCCTTCTCTCGCATCATCAAGAAAAGCTGACTGGTGGCAGACATAGGGCTTAGATTAGTTCTGAGGGAAAGTGGCTATACATTGAAGAAACACATTGAGATGGAGTAACTAACTTTTGTTGTTGTTTCAGAAATACAGTCTTTTCAGATTATATTCAGATTAAGTTTAGTGGCCATTTGCAGTAAAACCACAATGGAATACATTTGCAAAAGCCCCCTGTAAACATTTTTTGAATAAATCAGACCACAACAAGCTGCCTTTCTTATTTAAACGTATTTTATCTTTTTCATACTCAGAGCTGATTGGCTGAATGAAAATGCTGATCTACAGAAGAGATAGTTGCCTTAAAAAACACACATTTAGAAACTAGCTTTGAAAGCAAGAAACTAGTTACATGGATTATATTACAAAGTTCAAAAGACAAAAATATTCTCGTACAGTGCTTAACAACAAAAGAAATAAGTGAGATAGAAATCAGCAGCAAAATAAAGTCATTATTCAATTCTGGTGAGAATAGTTCATGATAATTTCTCGGGGCTTGCTCTTTGCTGAGCACTAACCAAACGTTTTATTACCTGTCATTGAAGTGCTGTGTGCTGTGACAACTCCTGACAAAAGGAACATTGTTAGCATGTCACAAATAAATGCTTCAAGTCTATTCTTTTAATTATTCATAATTAGCTTTTTGGTAAGTTTTTGGTGACATATTGAGAACTTTTAACCATTGACGGTATGATCTCTCTCAGCCTCAACAGGTCCTAATAATGTTTTTGATATAATTTATGCTTTTTAGTTTATGAAACGAGCATCCCTACACAGATCTGAGCTGATTCGCGCCAAATCAAATCAGTTCAGATAAGAAGTGTGACGAAGACCTCAATTTACACCAGGAATCAAACAGAGCGTCCCGCGGCGCATGCACTACTGTAATTACATCTGTGGGTAATTATGCTGCCGGCGTCGGGAGTGCACGCCGTGTTTTGAAAAGCCTTGAGACAATGCGTTTTTCCAGCACTCCTCTGAGCTGAAGATTTCTAATTAAAAGAAAGGGTGAAGTAAGCTGTCTAAATGGAAATGTAGAGCTCTGTTAGGCGTAAGGCACCTGCTGTCGGACACGAGCGGTGATTATTATTAGCAGACCCGCGGGAGAGCGGCGAGCGCAGGTCAAACCAGAGCGCTACTTTTACCATCACTCTCACGTCAGATTCTTTTTTTCTTGAGCAAATTATTTGATCAAATTAGGAGCATTTTTTTACGTGATAAATGGTTGCAATTCATTTTCATTTTTGAAAGTTTGTCAGGCCTTGGATTCAATGTTGAATCTTGTAATGTATATGCAATTTGCAATACGCAATATCATCTCTGCTGTTGTCTGCCTATGATTTTATGACCTGATTCTAACACGCTCTGGGTATGCAAAAAAAAAAAAAAAATTTTAGATAAATATTGATCATTTTCAAATAAGGTTTTTTTTCAATTTTTTATTCAATAATTATTTTTTTCAAATCATATTTTGATTTAAAGGACAATTAATCTTCAATAAATTAATTATAAATGCATCAGTGTATCTTCAAATGAGGCGCGGCGTCAGATTTTGGCCATAAAGCCTTCATTTTGTACATTTCGTAATTATTGGGTTCTTACCAGACAATAAAAGGTTAGCGATGTTAGCGATTACCTTGACATGTTTCGACTGATACTTCCGTCAAGGTACACATCGCTAACCTTATATTGTCTGGTATAGAAGAACCCAATACTTTTAATTCTACTAAGAAGACAAAATGAATCTTGAACTATTTTGTACTGTATTATATTGTGTCAAATAGTATCAAATTAAAAGTCCCTGTATTTAGATATGAATCATACCTGCAGGCTCTGACAGACCCCCAGCCCTACAGCATATGCAATATTATAGAGTTATGAATAATATTTGGACAGTTGTCATATAGGATTTTTTGGACCTGCAACTTTAAACCCATCACCGTGTATTGGTATCTGGCCCAGTTTCTGTAGTAATAAAATAAAATTCCCCAGATGTAAAATTGAAGGATGTAATTATTATAACCTGGTCTTTTAAGACTGCATTACTAATCTAATTTGACTCTGATATTGACTCTATGGAAATAGTCTGACATGAACCCATTAACAAATGATGGCTTCACATTCAAGGCCAGTGAGCAGGAGGCCAGTGTGAACCAGGAAGTCCATTATCGCTGCTTTTACTCTTTCGTGCAGTTGGCGCAAATACATTATTCAGACATTATTCAGACTCTCTGGGTTTATGAGGTGTTGCAGTTCTAATTGACGTTAGAGCTTGGATTAGCGTTTGGTATCACAGATTTAAGAACATGGCCAGCCGTGGACCCTAAAGCTCACAGATGGAGTCCAGGATTGCAAAACAAAATATTTGGACGACAGAACAAAGAATGAGGAAATGAGAGTCATTTTAGCCACTTTGAAAGGAAAGAAAGACAAACAAAGGCTTAAATACAAATGAAAATGTGATTACTGCTGACGATAGAAAATACTGAAGAAAAATAGTGACTGATGCTTGTCAAGTCCACATCCTTAAACTGAAAACAATAACAAAGATACTTTTAGGGAATATTATCAGCATATTCTTCAATGCTTTTAGTAATTGCAATGGAAGAACACGGTTGTTTTTATGTAGCCCAAAGGAGCGGATGCACTGACAATGAATACTGATGCGTTCTCAATTAGCGCCCCACAGGCCGAGAGAAAACACACTCTCTGCAGCTTGTAGGAATGAGTTAAAAAGGCAAAACAACATTATGTCCACCTTCAGCTGCTTTTTCACTCAAACAACGCGGGCTTCTTAGTGGAGATGGGATGATCCGTCATGATATCGACTTGGTGTCACTTTGAGATGGAGAAATTACATCTGGAAGACACCAAAAAACCTGCACTGTCTATTATATGTGTGTTGCTGCTAGTCATCCCCCTTCACGCGCCGCTTTGAGGAGGATTTCTGCTCTGAAGAAAGTGCTTGTACTGAAAATATATAGTTTTAATCTTCATTTGACTGCCTTAAAACTAGATTTTTCAAAGGCAGAAGCTTAAAATGTTTGAGACGCAATTTTTCGCTGAATCGGAACATCTTGTTTTAAGACAGTCAGATAAAGATAAATGTTTCCCAATTTAAAGTGTGCTTTGTAACTTTGGTTGGGGTGTGCTTATTTCTTGGGTCCATCGAAATGTTGTTTTACTAGGAATAGTCAACAGTATGGCATTGGAGACAAGCAAGTTTAGTTTAGTTTCATTGGAATTAGCATTGATTTGTTCACAAACAGCTTCAACCATCAGAGTTATAATTAGAGTAAAAGCCTCGTGTTGCCACCTAACCCACCTCAGCGAAAAGACTTGGCGAGTTGAAAGGCGAGCCATTTCAACACAGCAGCCCGTGTCGCTCAATTTGTATGGATTGGAAGCCCATGTTTTTGCTCAGAGACTTATGGAACATGACTTAGTTAGGTTTCAACTTTGTTCAGTCACAAAGTCATGTTTGTGGAGATGAGAGAATACGGCCAACTGCATGGCTTCAGGCTCACACTATAGCTACATTAGCACCACTTTTACAATAAGCTATAGCATCATCATCATGTTTGTTTATTTCGAGCAAATAAGTGTACAAGAAACAAAAGCAGAATATCAAAATTGTGCATAAATAACCGTGAGTTATATTTCAAAATGCGAAATTATAAACATTATATACACAAAAGAAACACTTGCAGATACTCAAAGGAGTGGGAAGAAGAAAACTTAATTAATCTCACTCCTGGTGCCTTGAAAAAACATATTACTCATTGAGCTCCCTATTTGCTCCAGTACAATAACAAAGCGAATGGCACATTTGACTTTGTTGAGGTTTTAAAGTAACAATTAATGGGTTTAAGAACATATACAAACAAGAGAAAACAACTGCATGAGGGAAATACCAGCAATGGTAAAGGACAGTAAATACTAATATGGTACATAGGGATGACTATTTTGGTGGAGCTGAAGTTGGCTGGATGACACTGTGTAAATACCTCTATGGCTAGCTTGCGTAAGTAAGGCGAACGGCCACATAAAATGAGTTAGGGGGCTGCATTTGGCCATGTTTAGATTCAATATACTGTACTTCTGAACTGTAAAATATGCAATTAAGTAAGTTTTATCTCATACCAAGCATAAGCAAATACATAACTTCTCCATGGATGTAAAGCGTCACATCAAGATAAACAATGCAGCCATGAAGAAAATAAAAAGTATTTGTTTATATACCAAGATTGTGAAGATTTGGTCCGGACAGAAGATGATATTTCTATGTTCACGGCCCCAGTTCTGTGTGGCGCATAGTTCACTCACCGCTCAGAGTTAACCGTGACAACAATAAGGCTGAATGTATGCTTCATTTATCTAAATTAATAAGAAGACAGAGAAACAGTGGGGGAGGGCCTGGGGGAAGTCTCCACGCAAACACAAGAACTGCTGCATCGTTCCAAATGACTTCTAATGACTTCCAATCACATCATGTACACAGGAAATTGTCTTTTTAATGACCAGAAAAAGTGAAACATACATTCAAACATGGGTGGCTGAGTTTTTGTAAACAACATTTGACTTCTTTCTTGTAAATTTGTTCAAAGCAAGATGCAAAATTATATGGAAAATATGGCAACTGAGTGTTTGTTGTCTCTGTAGGTATCTTGTAACTGTTTAATGTCATTAAATATTCTTTTTTTAATCTATTTGGTTAATATCTAATAATGAGACAAAACTAAATTGAGTCGTAACACCCAAGTGGGATAATAGAGTGACTTTGTGTAGCGTGGAGTTTTGAAGCATAATTGAAAAGTACCTGGCCACAACAAAAACAAGAATTATTATTGTAACTACGACTGTGGTAAACTGTGCTCAGCCGTGAAGTGTCAAAGCAAAAGTTACGTCTTTGTGTGCTTAATGAATAATTGAATTGGAACAGAAATTACAAGAATTTGTTTTATTTAAAATGGAGGCGGCGAAAGTAGAGACAGAATCGCACGCTGTATTCTCATGAAAAATTCACACCATTCTAATTATTTATCCGAGCTCATGTTAGCGTTAATTTGGACTGATTCTGGTTTTAGTCCAGTTTCAGGGCGCGTTCACACCTACTGCTCTAATGGTTCACTTCATAAGAAAATCAAACTGTTATTCTGGTTATTCTTTGAAAGGCGCTATATAAATAAAGATTACTATTAAAAAAGTGGACTGACTAAAGGGCCAGTGGACCAGTAAACAGTTTTTTTTAAATGGAGTTTGTCAAGTCTAAACAATTATTATTTATAAGGTTTAGTTAGTTTGGAGCTGATGGGAAAATAAGCAATCATCATTTGTTGCGTTTTTATAAAAATGCAATTTCCCTGCTATAGAAGTGTTAAGACACTCTTCGTCCCACGGTTCATGACCTCTCCCAGCCCTGACTTCCCCTGACCTCCCTGTAGTATCTGACTGAAGTGTGTTTTGCAGTGGACGGCAGCTGGTCGTGCTGGTCGTCATGGTCACGGTGCTCTGTGACGTGTGGTGGCGGTCACTACATGAGGACCAGGACGTGCAGTAACCCGCCTCCTGCCCACGGAGGGGACATCTGCCTGGGACTGCACACCGAGGAGGCCCTGTGCAACACGCAGGCCTGTCCAGGTAAAAAGACCAGAGATTGAACAAAACATATAAGCTTTCGTCATTTGTCACTTCATATGTGACGGACACTTTAGCACATTTTGTGTTGGACTGATTTAATATCGCCTGAATATTATCATTTATATCCACAACGCCCACCCCGACACTGAATAATTCATATTTCATTCAAGGCATGTCTATGGATCCAACTGTATCTCATCCAAGGCTGCTGCCACAAATAGTGATTATCCCATTCCTTCTGACCACTTCTGCTGTAGGAACAGATCCCTGCCCTTCTGCTTTTGTGAAAGGAAAGTTTGGAGACCACTGTGGTAGTCGACGGAAGATAACATTTGGTGGGGGGCTTTATTATTATTGGGGAACAGGTCTTATAGGGCATCTAGATTGGGCCTTCCTTTAGCCCTTTCTGTTCTGAATGTAGCAGAAAGTAAATAATAACACTTGGAGATTAGTATGGAATCCGAGTTTAAAGGGCACCTCACTTCAGCAAGACTAAAAAAATCCAGCCACTTCTTATCATTTCACGTTGGATTTTGTGTTCTAGATGGTGATGTTGAACTTCTACTGAACTCTGCTTCTGCTGAGATTTGTTGGATGTCAATATCTGCTTGACCTCAGGGACTATGCAATATGTATAATGCCTCTTAAACATCATGTTATTTCAAGACGTGTATATAGTCAGTGAAGCATCAAACGGACTGAAATATAAAACACAGCTCTGTTCTTTGCCTCAATGAACCTTGACTTTGTTATTTTTCCTTATGCGGAAAGTCAATCGTAGCTGTATGATATTCTTGCAGGCAACTACACACACATATTTTTATTGAGGATCACCATGAGGCCACTCCATCACAGACACTTGTTTTAGCTGCATCCCCTTAAAGCACTCTCATGTGTGACTAATACGACGCTGAGGGCATATTTTAATTCTGCAACGCTTTAGCTTGAAGTGAAGTTTATGAGATGTACCGACTGTCTATTGCCGGGTTTGCAGAGAGTTGGTCCAGCTGGTCCGATTGGTCGCCGTGTGATTCCAACGGCGCCCAGGCTCGGGTGCGGCAGTGTGACGTCCTCTTCCCCACAGGGAACCAGTGCGCGGGCAACAGCAGCGAGACCAGGCCCTGCTCCGACTCCAACTTCATACCAGGTAACGACAAAAGCACCGCACCGGTCCCTTAAGAGGATAGATGGGACTCAAGCAGACTGCGGCGTGTCCACAGTGGGAGTCCCTTTCATTTCCAGCTGCAGAATGAAAATCAAACTGTAATGAAGTCTCCCAGGGTCCGTGTCGGGTCAAGGATGATGTGTTAAAAGTATAAATTTGAGTACGTTGGGGTGTCTATGGAGAGCCTACAGGGACAAATCAGGATGAGATTATTTTGCAGCGTTTCTTTCCTGTGGTTTATCATTACTTTGTTATAGGCTTTCTATGACCGTGTTAAAAGCATTTTATTCTTTAGGGAGACATTTTTGCTTTGTGCTGTTTCTGCACTGGGCCAATTAGGCTTGTGGAATCTTATTAGGATGCTATTAAGCCAACAAAAATAGAAAATGAACACCTTTTGTCCAGGGAACGTGGCTAATGGCTATAAATACACATAGACAAGACTTTTAAAGGTGATATCAAGGAATATATCCGTGTAATTAATCAATGACTGTTTATAGTTAAATTCAAAAAGCAAAAATAGTTTGGTCTAACATTGCTTTTCTCTCATGGTTTGTCGTGGACCACACCCTGGACTTACACATAATTATACTCATATATAAAATATACTTGAGCCGTGCATTGAAATAGACAGCAACCAATTTATATAGAGCATTTCTGAGATCAAGGTCACACGAAGCGCTTTACAATTTATGATGTGTACCGGTGATTCCCATTCACTCCCCACACGGTGATGACAGGAGCCGGACGCGAAACACACCGATGCAGCGAAGCCTCAGACCATCACTCATTACCATCAGACCAATCGTACATCTTTTAAGTGATAAGGGAAACCGGAGCACCTGGAGGAAACCAACGCAGACATGCAAACTCCACACATAAAGGCTTGGAGGTGGAATAGAACTCAGGACCTTCTTGCTGGGAAGCACAAACGCTAACCACTGCACCACCGCCCAAGCCATATTACAAACTCATTGTGGTCAGGGGCCGAATTATGAAAATAGGAACCAGTCGGGGGCCGAAAAAACAGAAGGGATTTCCTGTTCTTCTAGTTGTTTTTTTATTATGAAGGTTATGGTTATGTTACATTTGATTCATTAACATTTTCCGGTTTATTTTTCTGAAATCAAAACGTGTTTCTTATATAGCTTTAACCAGAACTGGAACAAATATAAAGTTAAACCCTATTCAACTAAACTATTCAACTTTTAATGATGTGTTGGGTTAAATTTTACATAAATAACAAAAAATAAAATAACATGCCTTGGTAGCCCATTACCATCAAAGCTACAAGTTGATAATAATTGATGAGAATTCTTTTAGGGCCCACTAAAAATGGTCTTGAGGGCAGGATTTGGCCTACGAGCCACAAGTTTGTCACGCCCATTCTAGATCGATCGTATTGAACCAGACCGACATTGTATTCGATTGAACTTTTAGTATGTGACAAGTAAACCCAGTAGCGAAACATCTAACATTATAGATTAAAGCCGCAATCAAATTAAAAGTGGACAGAAATAACTTGGCGGTTTCCTTTAATGTAAGAGATCAGATGGCATAAAAGCTCAATGTACATAATTAGTATTGCTCTCTGCTTAGACTGGCATCTCCCTATTGATTCCAGGCTGTAACGTGAGAGTCCCATGTGCATTGATTTCTACTTCATAAAAATCATTAAGCCAACCTTAGTGCTTTCAGAAATGAGCCTTATTACTGCATAGACCGTGGCCATCACACATATCCCTCCACATTATTACCTGCAGTCTCATACTAACGGGCATAATTCTTTGCAACACCATGTAAACATTTGATTGAAAGTTCTATCTGAAGCCTTTCTGTATTAATTAGCCGGGTTATAATACTCTGTGTCGAATTAGCCATTTGCCCCCTATCCCTCATCATCCATCTGTTTTAATGGGAACGCCAGCCTATTATGGTTCATTAGGAAAGTCTTGCACTCCATTCTGTGTAATGAGAGTTGATACTTTCATAAACTGCTCCAGGTGCTGCGGCCAGAGCTTTCCGTCAAAGTTTTCTTTGTTTCAAACCTTTTCTACGTACGTTTATTTACACCTGCTCGTCAACATCGAAATCCATCCTATTTATTAATCTTGCATTCATTCAATTACGGGTATTTCTTTATATTTCACCGGGAATAACCCATTGCGATTACTACTTCGTGACAGAAGCACTGATGGGTGTCATCAAACACAATTAAAGCTATTACACAAAACTAAATACCTTATCAAACCTTTCAGCATCAATTTGACCTGCCCTAATGGAGCTAGTTTTGTCTAATTATAAAACATAACAGTAAAAAAGTTACACGTGCACCCAGACCTGTGTATAAGAATATTTATCTGAGTCACTATTTGACGCTTTGGGCTGGGAGCGGATTGGCTGAGAGTGGGTGGACCTCTCTTTTTCATATTTGAGTCTTAGCGGGGACGGAGGACAATGTAATGCATGCATGTAAAAACCAATACTAGACCCAAAATGTTTTTAGAGCAACTTAGCTATAGTTTATTACATAGTTACATTCCTGTGGTTTCAAAGTTAGGTGCCCCAGCTTTAACTAGAGTAAAAACCTGAATTCTTACATCCTCATCACACAGGCAAAACAATGAGATAAACTTACACCCTGTTAAATGGTGGCCCATGACAAAGTGAATACTGAATCTTCATGGAAATCAGTGACAGCCTGGGAGAAGAAAAGTGTGGCTGGTCTGTGTAATTGTTTTGGCTCGGTAAAAACATGATTCAAATAAGATTGTAATTCCTCTGTTTTCTTGCTTTTTTTTTTTCTTACAGAAGTCTCAATTGCACACTCGAGCCAAGAGGAGCGCCGCTGTGGAGGTAATGAAAGGACATATAGAAGCTGAAGAAGTGCCTGATGTTTTTACAAGCGCCGTCTGTAATAAGAAAGCTGTTAGGAGCTGATAAATTAAGTTGTTAAAGTTTCCTAAACGAAGGTAAAGTTTGAGTTTTACACCGGGCAATTTTGCAGCGTATGAGGAACAAACAGTAAAGGGCAGCGGAGCTTTAATCCAGAGCGGAGTGAGGGGAAATATATAATTAACAATATCACAGATGTGCGTGTAAAAGAAGATTTATAGCTCTAGTCACATTGATTGGATACTTTTCTCAGAGCCGTTTTGAAAAGGGCGAACGCAGCCTCTCGAGTTCACCGTCGCTTTAATGCATGAATGGATGGCTGCTGTTAATAAGAGCGTCCAGTTAAATCCTTTGTCAAATGTGGAGGCAGTAGATTGACCACACAAAAACATAATCTATTATGTATCAGTTTCATAATCGTATCTACCAATAGTTATGGAAAACAGGATTGGCTTGTTTATGGGCCAGTATGCTGTTTTTTTAAATTAAAAGTATCTGCATCTGTTCCATGTGTCCCCAGATAACATGTCAGCATGCGCAAATCATCTTTGACCTTTTCTGCAAAAACATTTAAAGTGGAGTTATTCTTAATTGAAAATACAACAGTCCATAATATTCATGTTTACAGTGTTCAAGCAGATTATCCAATCAGAGAGCAGAATGAGAAGGAAGTAGAAAAATGTGCACACTAAAAGATAGACAAATGAAAATAAACAGTCGTATGAGAGTTTGTGCTGTTTCTTGCTAAACTCCAGCCGGTGGATTGCATCAGTAATTAGTGCGTAGGAGCTGAATGTGTCACAGGAAGATTCTGGCAACAAAAGTGTGGTTGTAATTGTAAGGACCTTTCTTAGACCACACAGAGTTCATTTCACAAACTGTCTATTTATTTTTAAAGGAATTTACCCTTCATATCAAGTGTTATTAACATTACTGTAAAAAAGGTTGATACGTTTGCAAAAAGACCTGACATGTTTCCACTATGGTCCCGTGGAATCCTTGTAGAGTGATTGGAATTTATCAAAACAGTTTTCCACAATCCATCGATAAACTTTCTACAATTTCAAACATTACATTCTAAGTCGGAACACAGATTTGGTGGCTCATTTTATCCAGATTCTTGCACTTTTACACACGTTTTTTGTAATGTTGTTTGTTTTGTTAATCAGTCAGGCCTCTGCTTTGTCTGTGTGTGTCATTTGCAGCTCCCGGTGACAATAGACTGAACATCTCTGGTCTATTGGATCAGTGTTCCCCAACCTTTTTGACTCGCGGCACACGTTTTTCACAAACATAAAAACCTGCAGCCTTTATGACCAAAGTATTTCTCATCAAAGCGTACTATATAGAACATCAAAACATTGTTCTATTTTCATTTCACATTATTTTGACCAATGAGGTGATTTTGGATCACTTCATCAAGGCATAATAAAATACCACGGCACACTGGTTAAAAAGCCCCGTGTTAGATTATGAGACATGTGACAAAACTCATCAAATCTAACTTCTTGAATAGACATTTATTTGTAATGTCACAGTGTAAATTGACCAAATAAACACTTGTGTATACTTTTGAATCCCTTTATCGACATTGTGACCTGAATAATCATTACGGACTCACCAATTCATCTTGGCACTTCTGCCCCTGAACTGTACAATTAAGTGCAAGTTTCCAGAATAGTTGAAAATGAGAACGCAGCCAGTTGGAGCCAGTGCTGTAATCTGCATGCAGCTTCGGGGGGCTCCAGTTTAGTATTTTCCGCAGGCGCTGGACGTTATTACTTCTCTTATTAGGAGTCTGGCTGGAGCTGTGCAACTTAAACATGCCCCTCACATCACATCGCTGCTTTTTCAAGACGAAATTAAAGCCAAACCAACTGGGAATCGCTTTTAGTTGAAAAACTGTAATTGGAATGGAACAAAGCAGACTGTTTTTTTTCTCTCTGTCTCTTTCTCAATTCTCTTTAATTAAATCTAAAGTATAAAAATACATCTGGTATTTATCGGCACAGTTCTGATTCTTTGACAGCCGCTCGATACCAAGCCAATCGATGTTTATAATTATGTTCTTGCAATCACAGAAGTGCAATTATATTAATGAATAAACCTAATTACTTGACAAGTGGCTGTTATGTTTTAATTTGGTGGTGGCCTTGCTTCAAAACATCAGTTGTTCACCAGTAGTCATTCACTTTAAGGAGAATAAAAGATAAATATTATTTTTTTATAGTGACACACTGCTTCATTATCATAAGAATTGCCGCCACTTGATTTCTCTTTCTTGTTCTTGTCCTTCAGATTTTAACGTCTTTCACATGATTGCTGTGGGGCTGAGCAGCTCCATACTGGGCTGTCTGGTGACGCTGCTGGTGTATTCCTATTGTCAACGTTATCAACAACAATCCCACGATGCAACAGTCATCCACCCCATCTCCGCAGCCCCCCTCAACACCAGCATCACCAACCACATCAACAAGCTGGACAAGTACGACACCGTGGAGGCCATCAAGGTCAGGGCGCCTTGGATTGACTCTACAGTATGGATGGATCTGAAAGAGAGAGAGTGTGTGTTTGAGTGTGTGAGAGAGTTTGTGTGTGCGTGTGAGTGTGTGTTTGCATCTGGGTGTTTCTGTCTGTCAGTGTGTGTGTGTGTGTGAGAGAGACTATGTGTGTCTATGTGTCTGTTTATGTGTGTGCGCGTAAGGATGTGTGTGTGTGTTTGAGTGTGTGTGAGAGTTTGTTTGTGTGTGAGTGTGTGTTTGTGTGTCGGTATGTGTCAGTGTTTCTGTCTGTCAGTGTGTGTGTGTGTGTGTGAGAGAGACTATGTGTGTCTATGTGTCTGTGTGTGCGCGCGTGAGGGTGTGTGTGTGTGTGTGAGTTTGTGTGTGTATGAGTGTGTTTTTGCATGTGGGTGTGTCTGTGTGTGCCTGTCTGTGGGTCGGTATGTGTCAGTGTGTCTGTCTGTCAGTGTGTGTGAGACTGTGTGTCAATGTGTCTGTGTATGTGTGTGCGCGTGAGGGTGTGTGTGTGTGTGTGAGTTTGTGTGTGTATGAGTGTGTGTTTGCATGTGGGTGTGTCTGTGTGTGCCTGTCTGTGGGTCTGTACAGTATGTGTCAGTGTGTGTGGGTGTGTGTGACTATGTGTGTCTTTGTGTATGTGTGTGTGCGTGCATTTGTATGGTTGTGCGCGTGAGGGTGTGTGTGTCTATCAGGATGTACATGTGTGTGCGTGCGTTTGTTTACGTTCTAAAAGAAAAAAATTAATATGTTATAACTGAAAAAGAAAGCCTAGTTTTTCTATCCCTAGTTTGTTCTTGCATGGATTTTTGTTTGCTTCTTTGGATGGTCTGAAATTGAGAGGACCCTGATCCTCACTTAGCCAGGCCTCATTTAACATTTAACTTTTACAGCAGACAAATTCAACTTGCATGAATTACAAAAACATACTTTCTTGATTACAGTAGATTCGAATTGACAAGTTAACCCTTTTAGCACCATTGTAGCAGGACACTTTATATACAACAACCTGGCCTCTGCACAAACCTTTCCTTACATCTGAATGAAAATCTCTTGATATTATCCCTTTTTGCCTATGAAGTTTCAGAACAAAAGTATTGAGCCAAAGAGGTTCACTTCCAATGGTGACAAGATCCATGTCTTTATTTCTTGTAACATAAGATGGAACATTGCCTTTATATAATGGCTATAACAGTTGTACTTCAGCTTGAATCTACTCAAATCAACAGAACAGGTCAATAGCATCAGCCATTTTTGTTTTGCAGTGGATGATCATTATAATTAATGTTATCAAAATAGTCAATTTAATACTTCGAACAAAAATGCTTCGTCGTCTCCAAAATGACAACTTGAGTGAAAATGTTGAAGTGGCTTATCCAACTGGCCTTAATTATGATATAAAAGTTGTAATTGTGAGAGCTTTATGCTGTGGGCGCTCACTTTCGGTCTTTAGGTCAGAAAAGGGGCAGTGAAAGTTAAGAGCAGATAAAAATTGACGAAGCGCGACATGATGTTTAACAAGGCGGAAGAAACTGTGGTTACTTTGGATTTAGCTCAAACTAGAGTTGGAGCTCCAATTCTTGCTCGTGTAGATTCAAGTTATTTCTCCATCAAGATCATGTGTTTTTACTGGAGAAGAATATGGAAGATTGTAAAGCACATTATAGATCAACATTCTAGACAGAGTTAAGAGTATTCTACAAGCTCTATGTTTAGTGTAGAACTATAATGTGTGTACAGTATATGTGTGTCGGGCAGTATAGAAGTAAAAGCACAAAACTAAAAATAAAACATGCAACAAAAAACAAATTGTTCTCCCAAAATCCCACCAGACAATCCACACCAGGAGTCGATATTTATCACATGGTTTTCATTAGCTTTTGTAGCCACATCCAACATGGACTCCAGATTTGTGTTAGCGCTACTTCAAGCAGTAAGACTTTGAGAATCTGTAAATGACTCTCATAAAAGTGTGTGTTATTCATGACTTGAGAGAATAGTTTAGCGATATGTTTTGTTTTTTTCTTCTGGCTCTACTGTGCCACTGCGTTGTTATTCTAAAATGCAGTTCTAAGCTTTGACAATCCCCTCATAAGGGAATCTTTGTTATTCATAGCAGTCAAAAAGTAAAGGGGGATTCTAACAAGAAGAGCTCAAATGCTGCGACATCATTATTTGTCAGTCTATTATTCAACACAGGAGTTTTTGTAACAACTGATTCAAAAACCAAGCTGTTCTACATATAATATAATATACTATACTATACTATACTATAATTGTGAAGTATTTGCAAGCCACGGCGATCCAAGATGGCGTCCTGTTAAAGTCAATGGCTTGTGCTCAGTGGCACATGTGGGGACCGAAAGATTAGCAGAACTTGCCTATATTTAGGCATTGTCTGGTCCTCCCGGTTCTACGCAGTGGACGAGCTCCCATGATGCTTTGCGCCGAATACGCGTGTGTGGCTCTCATGCGTGTGCACAGAGGGGCTCGGCTGCGCTCTGACCAATCAGAGATGCTCATCATTATGGAGTTAGAGCAGGAGCCAGACGGGCAGAGTTTGTGGCACTAAAGTGTGGATATAAAAACCAAAGGATTTAAGAATTAAAAAAAAGTCCAGGATGACAAGGGACACTCAGATCCCCACAAAATCCGATCTTTATGAAAGTTGTAGGTTCTCTGTCAGCTGAGGTCAAGCTGTTTTAGTTTACATTGAGTTCTATGGGGAAAATTTCTGGGTAGCCTGCGTGAATTTAGTCTGGTTTATTCTGCAGTACCGCGAGAATCCCCGAGCACATGGGTCCTTCAGCTCCAAGCTAGTATTACCCTATCCAGTTAATATTATAGATCCATGAGTATTTGGAGTTGGACCAAAACGCTTCTTTATCTCCCTCAAATCAAGTGTCAGTAATTTGCATAATAATTTCCAACCTAATTGTTTGTATTTGACTTGGGACAACTGCTCCAAACAAAGTACACACATTTGCATTACATTTGTCAATTTGCTGTACTTAAATTAACAAGGCAATTAATCTACATATTTTTCTTAACAAATGCCGCCGCTCACAAATGCCTCTGCGATTTCCCTACGCAAATCGAATTACCGAGCTATGCATAATACAGTAGCTCCAGAATAATAACAGACTTTCTCATCACACATACATTGACTGTAAACCTGGGTGTATATTGTGCAAAAGCCACTTCCAAAATGTGCGTCTGTTTAAAGATAATCTTGAGAAGAAAGCCTCAGAGCTAATGTCTGCAGATGTAATTTCACTCGAGAAAAAAGGTGCGAGCGGCGGCGTCCATCTGTCACGCAGTTACAGTCAGGAGCAACGCGTCTAATTCCGTTAGTTGCGTTGCAAATTGACAAAGATATGAATGTAGACACTCAGATTATGGAAAGGGGAGGAGAGTGAGAAAGGAGGGTAGTGTAATTGTGTGAAAGTGCGTTATACTTTCTGGAGTTGTTGAGTCTGTCTCTTTATTCAAACTGTCCAAAAGAAGCTTAAATCATGAATGTGATTGTGGGAGATATTCTTCACCCACTGATTTTTGCATCTTATTGACAGAGCCACTGGGGTTTAGATCCTCAATAAAACCAGACAGACTCTCACAGTGCAGCAATAAACATATCTGCTTTGCTTTTTCAATTAGCAGTTTTTATTGTTATACAAAAAATGCCTCGTGAAATATAACTTGGAGACTGCTTAGCCTTCGAGGTAGCAACAGATATAATGTTTTGTTTGTCACAAGGTGAAAACAAAGGAATGAAATTGAATTAAATGTTTGATATTAAAATGAAAGTTCAGGGGGAAACAAAACTCAATTAAAAATGATCTATACAGAAAACAGGAACCAGGACAAAAACACAGAACATTGACAATGGACGAGCAACAAATGAGGATGAATGTAAAAACACAATAAGGCAGGAAAGATAAAAACATGGGAACAAGACAGGAAGTAACACTAAAACAACACCACAGTAGAACTAATGTCAAAATAAAACCAAATAGCTAAAATCCACACTATGGCATTGTTTTGAATTCACAATTACAACATATAATATTATTGATAGATTACTCTGTATACAGACACGTGGTCAAACTTGAAAAGTGTGTCTTCAATAAAACAGTAAATCATTTTGTAGACATTTTGGCTCTCATCCACTTTCTGATTTCAGGGGATGATCTGAGATTTGTAATTTTAAGCTGAGATGGGCATTCTCCCGCCTTTAGAGTTTGCTCAAAAGTACTTTACACTATCTTTCTGTGTGCATTTAATCTATTGTAACTAGTAGTGATGATTTGGAACTTCAAAACTCTCTGATGGTGAGAGATGAATGAGACTGATGCTGTTATGGTGAGAGAGTGAATAAGACTGACGCTGTTATGGTGAGAGAGTGAATAAGACTGATGCTGTTATGATGAGAGAGTGAATAAGACTGATGCTGTTATGATGAGAGAGTGAATGAGACTGATGCTGTTATGGTGAGAGAGTGAATGAGACTGATGCTGTTATGGTGAGAGAGTGAATAAGACTGATGCTGTTATGGTGAGAGAGTGAATAAGACTGATGCTGTTATGGTGAGAGAGTGAATGAGACTGATGCTGTTATGGTGAGAGAGTGAATAAGACTGATGCTGTTATGGTGAGAGTGAATGAGACTGATGCTGTTATGGTGAGAGAGTGAATAAGACTGATGCTGTTATGATGAGAGAGTGAATGAGACTGATGCTGTTATGGTGAGAGAGTGAATGAGACTGATGCTGTTATGGTGAGAGAGTGAATAAGACTGATGCTGTTATGGTGAGAGAGTGAATAAGACTGATGCTGTTATGGTGAGAGAGTGAATGAGACTGATGCTGTTATGGTGAGAGAGTGAATAAGACTGATGCTGTTATGGTGAGAGAGTGAATGAGACTGATGCTGTTATGGTGAGAGAGTGAATAAGACTGATGCTGTTATGATAGAGTGAATGAGACTGATGCTGTTATGGTGAGAGAGTGAATGAGACTGATGCTGTTATGGTGAGAGAGTGAACTGATGCTGTTATGGTGAGAGAGTGAATAAGACTGATGCTGTTATGGTGAGAGAGTGAATGAGACTGATGCTGTTATGGTGAGAGAGTGAATAAGACTGATGCTGTTATGGTGAGAGAGTGAATGAGACTGATGCTGTTATGGTGAGAGAGTGAATAAGACTGATGCTGTTATGGTGAGAGAGTGAATAAGACTGATGCTGTTATGGTGAGAGAGTGAATGAGACTGATGCTGTTATGGTGAGAGAGTGAATAAGACTGATGCTGTTATGGTGAGAGAGTGAATGAGACTGATGCTGTTATGGTGAGAGAGTGAATAAGACTGATGCTGTTATGGTGAGAGAGTGAATAAGACTGATGCTGTTATGATGAGAGAGTGAATGAGACTGATGCTGTTATGGTGAGTGAGTGAATGAGACTGATGCTGTTATGGTGAGAGAGTGAATGAGACTGTTGCTGTTATGATGAGAGAGTGAATAAGACTGATGCTGTTATGATGAGAGAGTGAATGAGACTGATGCTGTTATGATGAGAGAGTGAATGAGACTGATGCTGTTATGATGAGAGAGTGAATGAGACTGATGCTGTTATGGTGAGAGAGTGAATGAGACTGATGCTGTTATGGTGAGAGAGTGAATAAGACTGATGCTGTTATGGTGAGAGAGTGAATGAGACTGATGCTGTTATGGTGAGAGAGTGAATGAGACTGATGCTGTTATGGTGAGAGAGTGAATGAGACTGATGCTGTTATGGTGAGAGAGTGAATGAGACTGATGCTGTTATGGTGAGAGAGTGAATGAGACTGATGCTGTTATGATGAGAGAGTGAATGAGACTGATGCTGTTATGATGAGAGAGTGAATGAGACTGATGCTGTTATGGTGAGAGAGTGAATGAGACTGATGCTGTTATGGTGAGAGAGTGAATAAGACTGATGCTGTTATGGTGAGAGAGTGAATGAGACTGATGCTGTTATGGTGAGAGAGTGAATGAGACTGATGCTGTTATGGTGAGAGAGTGAATGAGACTGATGCTGTTATGGTGAGAGAGTGAATAAGACTGATGCTGTTATGGTGAGAGAGTGAATAAGACTGCCGCTGTTATGGTGAGAGTGAGTGAATAAGACTGATGCTGTTATGATGAGAGAGTGAATGAGACTGATGCTGTTATGGTGAGAGTGAATGAGACTGATGCTGTTATGGTGAGAGAGTGAATGAGACTGATGCTGTTATGGTGAGAGAGTGAATGAGACTGATGCTGTTATGGTGAGAGAGTGAATAAGACTGATGCTGTTATGGTGAGAGAGTGAATAAGACTGATGCTGTTATGGTGAGAGAGTGAATGAGACTGATGCTGTTATGGTGAGAGAGTGAATGAGACTGATGCTGTTATGGTGAGAGAGTGAATAAGACTGATGCTGTTATGGTGAGAGAGTGAATGAGACTGATGCTGTTATGATGAGAGAGTGAATGAGACTGATGCTGTTATGGTGAGAGAGTGAATGAGACTGATGCTGTTATGGTGAGAGAGTGAATGAGACTGATGCTGTTATGGTGAGAGAGTGAATAAGACTGATGCTGTTATGGTGAGAGAGTGAATGAGACTGACGCTGTGTGTGATGGTGAGCTTGTTTCGCTCCTCTCCGCAGCCGGATGTGTCGGTCCTGTTGCCGTTGGACGACCCGGCCATGCACCAGCCTCTCTCCTCTAACATGGGGGTGTCTATGCGAGGCCTGGAGATTTTCTACTAACACCTCCTCCCTCCTCTCCTCCCTCATCTCCTCTCCTCTTTCTGCTCCTTCTCTCCCGGGAGCACTTCTGTTTGCGGCAGGTCGGAGTTTCCTATTTTTCCCGCTCCCTGCTTTATGTAGCCCCTCTTTTTTTTCCCCCTTTGGCATTAATGTTGCATGTTATGTCCGTGTTTGCTTGGCTTCTCTGTCCTGCGCCTGTTCAAAGCCACTCTCTGAGAAACCTCAAAGAAATGTCGGTACAAATATTGGTACATAATTGTTATTTTCCGTTTGCAAAATAACATATAATTTGTACATTGCGAGAGACGGCCTCATTCATGAAAAGCAACGAGGCTTATGGGACAAATGGTCAGGTAATAGGTAATTTAAAAAACAGTTTGGTTTGCTTTCTTTTCTTTCTCCAATGTTATGGTCCATATAATGTATATTGTGTTGCGAAAAACTGGAATAAGCAACACATCCCAGTGATGTTTGAATCGGTAATCTATTAAGTTTTCAGTTTGTTTATTTGTTTTTAGCTTCAATAGTTTTTTTCTCCACAAACGGTGAGATTCATCCATTTTCTTCTGCTTCATCCCTTGCCGGGTCGCGGGGGCAGCAGTCTAAGCAGAGATGCCCAGACTTTCCTATCCACACACACTTCCTCCAACTCATGCAGGGGACCCCGAGGCGTTCCCAGACCAGCTGAGATACATAGTCCTTCCAGCGGGTCCTGGGTCTTCCCCGAGGTCAAATGGCAAGATCATAAGTTTTATTGGTTACATGAAAACACATTTTACTGATCTGACTTGACACTTTTAAAGGTACTCTGTGTAAGTTTTACAGTTACATGTTAACCAAGAACAAATGTGACCTTTTTAAGTATATTTACCTCCACCATGTTTTTGAAATGTTGTCATAGGCTTAGAATTTGACTTATAAATGTCCATGGGAGCTGAGGACTCTCCCTGTCAATGCGCCATCTTGAAATACAGTAGTTGGACAAAGGACAAAAAGGAGCTTGACCAGTCTAAAACGACATATTATCCTGTGAAGCTACCGTAGTACCATAAATTACAATATATGATCTCAATGCTAGATGGGTGTCAAAACTACACATTGTACCTTTAACATATTCCTCCAGTCTAGAGTATTGCTTCTATTGCCCTGATTTCGAGCAAATCTCTAAAATATTAACAATTTGCTCATACTGAAATTTGCCTGACTGAATTTGACCTAATATTGTGTTTTTGCCTGTAACTCCTGATTCACTCAGAAGCATTCATTTTAATGATGCCCCCCGTTACTCCTCTATCACCAACACCACCGGATATTTTAAACAACTTATGCTTGGTTTTGGCGAAAGAGCAAGAGCAATCCTTTTTCAACCAATTAGAGAGAGGCGAGGTGCGGAGGCTGAATGGCACCACAGCTGTTCAAAAGCAGCCACGGGCCCACCTGCTGAGACGCACTGTACCTCTGAGTTATAACTGACTGTGTGCTGCATGAAAAAGGCTTTTGTGAGTGGAAATGTCACTACAATACAAATGCATCACAAGTGATCCTACGTTATTCGAAATGACTTGGTTTCAGGAGTTTTGTAACAGTTGATAGTAATAAATCTATAGTATATTTGGCTCATTTCAAGCCCTTAAGGTAATTTTCGAACCATAAAAACGGGACTATGTAATAAATCCGTCTAACTATAGTTCCTGATTTTAAACGGTTTGGTTCTTCGACTAGTTTTCACATACAGCACATGTCTTTTTTGGGCTTTGTCACATTTTAAGATCAGTTTTTTCAGACAGTAAAGTGAAAAAAAAAAGAGAGGACCACTCTGACTCTGCCAATCATCTCTCAGCCCAAAGCATCAAACTCAAAGGCTTGGGGTCTTACTGTTTTGTAGAAGATAAAATGAAGAAAGCGTTCATTTTTCGGGCTGTTTGGGTGGAACAACATGTATTATTTATGTACAAAAAAGTTCCAAAAACACAAAAAGGACACATTTTCTGGTAAACTGAGGCCGCTTAGTGGGTATTTTAGTGGGTTTCCTTCAGGCACTGCAGTTTACTCCATCACTCAACACAAGCAGTAGTGTGAATATAGAGAGGGAAGGATGGTGGTGGCGGTCAGAGGGCCGATGGCACGGATTGGCAGCCACGCTTTGGTCCCCAACAAGTCCAGATTGGATTTAGCTTCAGCGTAGCATTGCAAGGGATTATAATGATTGAATTCCAGATTATTTGTTATATACTGATTAGATAGGGGTGATTAGCGGGTGTCAAACCGGTTCTCAAAGGGCTGGTGTGGCTGCTGGATTTAGTTACAACCAAGCAGAAGCACACCAGACTCAATTCACTTAAGAAAATGGGCGGAGTCTAGTGTGCTCCTGCTTGGTTGGAGTGAAATCCTGCATCCTGGAACTACTTTGACACCCCTGGATGAGATTATCCATTTTAATGTCATAAATGTTCACAGACACCTCAACTGCCCTGTTCACATTTAAATCAAAAAACGGCAAACACATTTCAACACTCATTTGAATTCAGGCCGTACGTTGTTTTCGTCCATTTTTTTTGTTTATCGTCAGCGATGCAAATTCCCATCAAGCTCAAACGCACCCTCCGCGCCGCCGTGTGCCGCCCTGGGGGACCGCACACGGGCAGCAGACGGCCGGCCATTTGCCAAATTGCTGTATTCGGATTTAGCGGCGCGTCGTGTGCCCATTCGGTGTGTACTCCCTGTGGCGGCGACTTATTGTTCGACACCAAAGCGGCTCTTTTTGATAGATTTTTATAGTCAACATTTGTCCTGCAGGAGTAACTATGCGCGGGTCATAAAATCTGCTGATGTTGGCTATTAGCAATGACAGAAGTGGTCATCTCTCGCGCCTTTTCGTGAACGTCTTGACCTTGTGTTGTGAAGAATCATCACTGCTTCCCGCGCAGAATGGGCACTTGAACGCATTGATTTGTGTTGCACCCCTATTTGTTATGGTTTTTTCACCTTTTTGGTTAACCTTGCCATGTGGCCAGATGAATGATACAAACATATTAATTTATTCTTGTCCTCTTTCCATCCACAGGCCTTCAACAAAAACAATCTGCTCTTGGAAGAAAGAAACAAATACTTCAACCCACAGCTTGCAGGAAAGACATATACCAACGCATACTTCACCGACCTCAACACCTACGACGACTATTGAGCTGAATCCTGACCCCGCATCTGCCGTTCACGCCGTTTCTCCGCCATTCTAGCCGTGCTTTATTGAGATTCGTATGCAGGACTCTCCCTTGTAAAGACATCATGGCAGCTCATTAGTGACAGACAAAACTGAAAAGGATATCGTTGCCAACTCAAAAGGGAAAGCCCACTTTTTCACAGGTGCCTTGGGGTACACTTATCAAAAACGCTTTTCAAAAACTGGTTATTTCTTTTGTTGGAGAGGACAAAAAAAGAAGAAATGACATTCGACAGCGAGAGAAGATTCCTTTGAACGTTTCCTGTGCCGCCACTATAAAAGCCGACTTGTATTTGCAACAAGGGATTTTACCACAACACAACTTTGCATGACTCCATCTGATGTCTCCCCTCTGCTGTTTCTTTGTGCATGATTGATCGCATTCCAGATTTTTAGTAACAATCAAATACGCGTTATCTGGATCACCGGTTCAATGCCGGGCACAAACATTTTTGCAAACCTACAGAATTCAATCTCATGGTGAAGGATTTCAGCCTCCACTGGTCAAGGCGGTGTCTGGATGTAGATAGTATGAAACCCGTGGTCCAGCTTGTCCATAGTTTTTGTTGAGCTAAAGCCGCCATTACTGCTTTCAAAGGTGCATATTTTTTTGTACAGAAAATGTTACTTTAAAATCTATGTCTATTTTTTGTATATTCAAAGTCTCCAGTGTAAAAGACAAAGTAGTAGTTCAAAAAATAACATGTGTATTTGAAGATTCATCAGCAACATCTCCCGTCTTGGTCGTCATACTTTTATATTTTTTGTAAAGAAGAAAAAGAAAAAATAAGATGAATTTTGATAGTGTTATCCATTCTTTTGACAGGACATTTATGGCATTTATTGTACAGCTTTGTGAAAACTGGAGCACTTATAAGTACGCCATTGCAGACGCCATATCGTCAAAAATGATTCTGTTCTAGTTGTGTAATGAGTTGGTTCTTCTCGAGTTCAGTTGCGACTAACTCTTTTTACATGTTTGCTTGTGTTCCTGTGCATAAATTAAAAGAAATACGGCTTCTTACCTCACAGTGTGTTGAGTTCTCCCAGATATTTCAGTTGAATGTTTAAAACATCGTTAAAAAATCAGTCTAATAATTCATTAAAACAAATCTGTGACATCCATGATTATGTTTTTAAAATGCATCGTGCGAGAGTGCCGTTAGCGATAAAAATAACATGGTGAATGAAGTACGTTCGGAGCCGCGGGGGAGAGCAGGGATGCAAGATAATTATAATATGCGTGAATCACTCTTAAAAAAACAACTTTGAAGGTGTAAATGAGAAAAGAACATAATTACGTGGTTAAAAGTCAATCTTCTTTTAAATGACTCCATTAAATCATTGTGCAAAGTTGTATAATGTGTGCTATATACAGTAAATATACATATACAAAACTGTGAAGGGAAAACACATCTTTGATCCATTTAAAGTGCAAATGTAAAGAAAAGGGCGTTTTGTCCTCTGCATTTGACCCATCCGGTAATACCACTGTCTGCAGCAGTGGGCGCCGTAGTGCAGCGCTGAGGGCCCTGAGGAATACTAGAGCTGGATTAATTTACCTATTGTACTTGTTTTAGTGGTGGGGGAACCCGGAGCACCCAGAGGAAACCTACCAAGACACAGGGAGAACATACAAACTCCACTCAGAAAGACCCAGTTCCAACCATGATTCATACTCTTCTCAGCAAGATTACTTACAAAATTGATGTATTACTTGCAAAAACGAAATCTGGTAAAAGTCACATTGAAGGAATTCCCGTACTTGAGTAAAATATAAAATGTACTTTTGTTTTTTCCTAATATGCATGTATTTATTTATTTTATAATTGAAAGACAATGTACTGTATTTGGGAAACCAGTAGCTAAATACAGGGTTACACAGTATTAATGTATATTTTACATGTGTTCTCCATGTTTTTTCATGATTATCATATAGATTTTTATTACGACTCAAAAAGGAGAAGCTCTCTGCCTCTTATGTTGTAGCCGTCCGATTGAAAAAGGTTGGAGACTTTAAGCATTTCCAAACACTTCAGAAATGTATAATGAATGTTTTATTGTGGCAGAGTACTTAAGCCAATGGTTATCTGAACTTTGAAGCGTGGCTAACCACAATGAGTTCATTCACTTAGAAGCCTGGCCCACCACTTAAAACCTGTTTAATGTTGTGTCACTATCTGCAAAGTCACTAGTCATTTGAAAACATGAGAAAAGCAAAGATATTTGTGTTTAAAAGTAAGAAGTAAAAGTAAAAAGTTGGAAGAAAAAAGAACTGATACCAGGAAAACAAAACGTGTAAAAGCCAGTGTATAAGTGGCCCTCATCCTCTCTTCATGAATCACCCAGTGAAGTCCACTTGCACACGTTCTTTCAAACAAGTCCTCAGCCGCCGCTCGCTCTCCTCTGTGACATATAGTCCCCATGGAGGCGTAGGGATACCTGAAGGAGACAAATGTGTGTGAGGTCGTGGTGGGTCGTCCTGTGCACAGCTGTAGTCTGCATGAAGCCGCCACACCACACACAGACCGCCTGAGCGAAGGGGACCGGCCAGGCTGCCATTAATCACCCCGAGAGAGAGAGAGGGGGAGGGGGAGTGCTGAGGCAGAGGGAGAAAGACTGGCTTTAAAGTGGCTCAGGAGGAGCAAGGGTTTTTTTTTTTTTAATAAAGTCTATTTTATAGAAGCCACAAATTCTTCCAAGTCTGTTTCAAAATGGGGGTGAATGAATCTTTCAATGGGGAGTAATATCGAAGTTGACTCCTTGTAAATGGTTTTAAGTTTAATTCAGGCAGTTTTGTGGTCTCTCAGTTGGATTTTTCAGCTTGTTGTCCATCCCCCTGCTTCTTGTACAAAACTCAGTAGCAGACAAATATAACACTTTCCAAATAACATGATAGTCATTAATATATCATGGATCCATTCAAGGCCCACTTTTAATTAATAATCCGGAATATTTACAGTCATGTTATGTTTTAGAATGTGAAATAATATCGTCAGTAGAAAATCTATGGTGAAACAACTTAAGTATCAAGTGTAAATAATGCCTGTAACCACCACCAGAGGGAGGAGTAGAATAATTGTTTTTTTTGTTTTTGTTTTTTTTTAATTAGCAGCAAACACAGCCACTGTAAATAACATCACTTCCCTTGAGAAGTTTCCCAAAATATTGAAAAGACACTACTTTTGTTTTAAAAGGCCGAAAACAGATGTAAGTGTGATGTCACAGTGGTTCAATGACATTATGCTATTACAGGACTGAGGCAGGAGCTTTTAGACAGAAGGGGCAAAGTTACTCAGCGTTCCATATTTGTCCCAGAAGTTCCTGATCTATTTTAGGTGTGAATAGATTAAAAACAACTTAAGCTCAAAAAAGGTGTGCGTGTTATATCACCTTTAATACAGCATGCCATTGTCAAGTAGCAACGATATATTTCTCAGATATGAATCCATAAAGTATAGCTGTGTTTATGAGTCCACAGAAAAATACAATCCTGGATCTTTGTGATAGGACCAGATGTCCTTGGGCCCTGTCTCCTCCGTCATCATTGATTGGTCACATGTCTCAGTTTGCCTTCAACAGTTTAAAAAGGAATCAAGAGTCATTTTCCCAAAAAAGTGAACACTGGGCTTAAAAATGTTCCGAACACGAGCAGTGGTCTGTCAGAAATCTCTCAGATCTATTGACTCAGCAGTGAGCTGTGAAAGAGGTGTGCATGAGCCATGAGTCATTTCATTATTGCCCCCACATCAGCCATGGTCTGTCCGAGTGTTTGACCTTGAATATCTGCTCGCACTAATCTTTAGTTTGAGACTGGTCTGGATTTAAGAATATTTTGACTGTTTCACACCAGCTCATCTTTTGCATGTTTTTATTTATTTTCTTTCCTTATGTAAGAATTTTGACCGACATTTGGCTTTTCTGTTAAAAAAAACCTGAACTGAACCAAAACTGGACCAAAACCACGAAAGACTTGTTAAAGCCTTCTTTACTTGAACCAATCTTGTTTGCTATTTGTGCTATGGGTTCAATGTTTACAATAAAATGAATGACATGGTTATTTCGTCCGGGAGAGCTTTAAATTGACATAGAACATGCCATAGCAGACAAAATACACCTTTTACTACTGATGTTTGCAAGTTTTGAAAATATAAAAAGATCTCAAGCCCCTCCAGTAACACCCTCTCATTCCGCAAAAAGGTCTGCATACCCCCGGTTGGGAAACACTTCAGTATGTTACACCCTAAAATCCATAATTGCATACATGTATTTCTTCTTTGTCAGACCAGACAGAAGCAGATGTGTCTCTTCTCATATTTTTGTGTTTTAATTAGCCTTTGCCGTCGGTAACCAGGAGGACAGTTGGATGAGTAAGTAAGTGGGTAATCTTTATATAGAGCGAACCTTTCAGAGTCCAGAGTCACAAACAGAGACCAGACAGTAGTTCAGTCTCGCCTCCAGTCTCAGGGATTGTCAGTGTTCTTTCAGTGTGAACATGTGTGCAGCCCACCGTCAGGGACTTTCTAAAGAGGCGCGCGAAAGGCCGCTGTAAAGGTCAGTGACACTCTGCTCATCTGGATGTGTCTGAGAACAGAGAACAGCATCGACAAGTGCTGCAAACGCTGTGGCAAAAATAACACTTCAGGAAGAGAAACATGTCATTTACTTTCACAGAGAATACGTGTCTAAAGGATTATTGGTACTTTTTATTCGGATATTACTGGTTTGAATTCTGGTAAATATTCAGGTCATGAGCCAACTTATATTTTGGATTCTATTTTTTTGTAGAGTGGGTCGCCAATATTTCCGTTGGTTGAGTGCGAGTTCTCTTAAGCTGTAAGTTGGTGGTTCAAATCCTGCTCCTGACGGGTACAGCATTGGTTTAACTGTCAGATCGATGTGATACCAGCTGGTGAATGCTGCATGTGTCCTTGGGCAAGACACTTCCACCACCTCTCTCCCAGTGTGTATACTGGTGCATGAATGAGTGATTGGTGCCTTGACGTGATGAAAAGCGCTCTATACTCTACATGTGACCATTTAACCCAGCAGCCAAAGGAATGCCTCGCAACATAATCTTTTTTTTAGGAATCATTCACAGGCATTGTATGAATAAATGTCTACTTCTCAAGTTTCAAGTTCATTCAGTTGTTTAATTTGTCTCTTGTTTTCTTGCATCAGCCACAATCTGAATCTTTACCCACAGCCTCACACAATTAGAAGAAATTTCTCCTGTTTTTATTTTATTTTTTCCCCAATATACTTTGTCCTACAACTGCACTTCTTGCCTTGCAGCCTGCTGGGCGAGTTGATGAACACATTTGAATCCATTGTAATTATTTGAGGACTTCCAGTGGCTAAAGTCAGTTTAATTAAGCCATGAGTGATTGCTATATTGATCTAGTCTGTGTTGCTGCTGATAAAATGTAATAGAAATATGTTTGTTTAACTCAGATGTTATTGCTTATTGACTTGTGTGATCCAATCCACAAATGTCAAACACATGCTCAGGTTGGCAGACTGAAACCCATGAGCTGCTGATACTGTATATGATGTGAAATGATGTGTAAATCCAGCCCGGCTCCTTGCAATAGTTAATTAAAAGCAGTGCACGGACATTTCCAGTGTAAATGCGGTGATATTGTTTCCATCAAGGCATTAACAGTGCATGAACATTCAAAACTTTTATTCTCTGTGGTCTGTGCACGGCTCTAACTACGTCTCGCCCAAGCAGCTCTCTCTTCCTGCTGCCTCACAACAAGGACATAAGCAGTGATATAAAACGACAGCTGATGTGAAGTTACTAAACCAAATTGTAAAGCTTCGGTCTTTAGTGTAGACAGAGTTCAGGGCGGCTCTCACACTTGAAAAATGCAAGAACTGACAATATTTACTGATATATGTGTGAGTAGCAGAGGAAGATGTAGCTCAAACAACCCACCAGCTGTGACTGCAACCACCACACAAGAATGTTCACATTAAAAACGGCTAAAGGCGTATCATTATGGGCCACTAAATAGGCTCTAATGAGAAGACAATATATTATAGCAAATGAATTAAACACTTTTATGGGATTGCAAAAGGGAAAGCTTGTGGTTATGGTGACGGCTATAGCTGATAGAAGGGATGACTCAATGCAATGTGGCGTCACCTGCATGTGAAAGTCAGATCCCATCAGACCCTCTGAAGCTAAGCAGGGCATGGCCTGGTTAGTACTGTGATGGGAGACTTCTGGGAACACCAGATGCCACAGTGGGGCGACTGAGGCTCTGCCAAACTTCATTGTGTGAAGGCAAGACACTTCACCTACATTGCCTTGAATGAGTCTGGTGTGAGTGTGAATAGTTTTTGGGGATCGGAGGAGCCGGTGGAGGCCACAAACATTGAACGTATCATGTCCCATGTGACAAAGTGGGATGATTTGTCCCCTAATGATGCCACCACCTGTAGAAGAAGGTGTGTCCTAGTCGGCCATTTTGTATGTTAAAAGCTCGCAGGTGAACCTCATCAAGGGAGGAGACACACCGGAGACAGCTCTGCGAACATCAATTTCATGTCATCTGGAAAAAATCCAGTGGTTCACACCATTTTGCATTTGTATATGATATGTCTGCAAAAGTTAAACCAAAGTGAAGGTGAATAGGACATAAAATCCAAAGCATATAAATGTAAAAAGTAAATTTTATGATGAACAAATACACTTTTTACATTTAACACAAAACATATCTAGTTTAATTTGAACATTTTCAGCACTTCAAACTAATGACGAATGTATGCTTTACTCCTCACTGAAATTATTATTTGTGAATGACATGTTGATGTAGCATTTAGTGCTTCACAAAAAACCCAAGGGTAAACTTGAATAACACATCAAAAATGACCAATTATTTCTATGCATATATTTTATTTAAAGCTGCACTAACTGACTTTGGGATTTTGAAGCCGCGGACTCGCTGGCCTCTCTCTTTCTGCTCCCCTCCCCGCACCCACGAAGCTATCGCCCCCCACACACACCCACTGTTGGGACGGAGCTAGCGTCTGCCAATATGGATAATAAATGAATATGGATTTGCACGTGGATGGCGTGACCATAGAACGATAGAACCGGGAAGCGCGGAGGAACGGGACTTTCTTTTGGATGGCTGTCTCACTGTGTAAGCAGTAACCGGTGACGAAGAGACGAAGCTTCAGGTTAGCTCCTCGGCTTGTTGTGCTAACTCAGCCGTCTATGCTAACGGACCTGTAGATTTCTCACGAAAGTGGGGGCTAGTGGTCCGCTGTGATTGGTCACAATCTGCGACCCGAAACACATTCTCTTCCTTGTTTCATCAAAACTCAATCTAAAATATTATGTTACGCCAGCACAAATCTGCACTACTTTTTCTTCAAAAGGAACTATATATCCCAATGCCCTACACGGACATGGATAGCATTTTAGTAATTAATACAAAAATAAAGTCAGTTAGTGCAGCTTTAATCACATCAGTCTAGAATTTAGGACCGACACTGGGAACACATCTTCAAGAAAGCAACACATGCTTCCTCAAAAATGGTCGAAGAGCTGGTCCTCTGTGGTGGGGTCTTACTTGAAGGTGAAGGCCCCCCTCGGTCTGGAGAAGAGCCGTGACAGCGCAGACTTGAGGCGCTTCTGGAAGGCACTCAGCTCAGCGTTCATATGTTTCACTGCAGCCGCTTCAACGGCAGCTGGGTCCTCCTCTCAAGATCATTCGTACTCACAAAATCATTACTGCTTTGACTTAAACGTACAACAGACACAGATGGTCACATTCTGAACACAGTGTTTGCCAAAGTTTGGAAACCCCTGTTCTTCAGTATAAATAAACTAATGCGGTTGCTTTTGCATCTTACTGGTGAAGAGAAACAATATATTTGAATAAAAACACTGTCAAGGGAGCGAGTGTTTAAGCTCTTGTATTTTTAGATGCAAAAATCAGAGTCTTCAACACAAACAAGCAATTTCCTCTAATCTGTGTAAAGGCCTTAGCTCCATTGTTCTGCATACAGAGACATTTAAGGCGTTTATTATGTTTGCTCATCATCATTATTGAGAGATGGTGCTGTATTGTCAATAGCAGTAGAGGAAACAAATAAGTGAGCTAAAATAGTTGGATCAAGTATGCAAGCATGCAATTGTTGCTATTTATATTTTTAGCTCAATGCTTTCTAAACAGTTTAGAGGGCCACTTTAAGTAGAGAACTGTCAAGAGGCCAGTTTTGACTAGAAAAACAAGGCACAGGATAATGTCTAAATTGATTCACATTATGCTCCTTTTATGTAAAAAATATATATTTGCCTATTTGACCTTGTAGTGACCCAGTGTCTGTATGAGTGGTCAGCACAGGGGTCTGTAGGATGCTATAGGATCAATTGGTTGAAAGGTTTTCTCTGTTGACAGAACCTCTCACCCGGAAACCCACAAAACAATTGATCCAAAAGTAAAGGCACAATGCTTTCCCCTCAGAAAAAATAGAAAAAAAAATTCACATTAAAAAGTTGCATTATGCACACACAGCTACATTAGTGCTTATTTGGGTTTTGTGACACAAACAAAATCAAATGTCTGAATTCCAGAGGTGTAGCTTCACAACAAGGTTTAGCATGCCTACATTGAAAGAGCTGACTTTGGCTGAATGACACTGTGAACAAGGCAGAGGGCCACAGAAAATGACTCAGAAGACCGCAATGGCCCACAGGCCTTGACATGGACTTAAAAACATTGCAATTTGAATATATACATATGTCTTTGTTTGTATGGACCATTATGCATTTTTGCAGAATTATGCGTCACAATTATGGATAAACAGACTGAACAGAGGTTTTGGACCTTGATGTCGCTACAGACGCTGGTGCCTCCTTCTCGTCTGGACATGTGGAAGCCCAGGTGCCTGTCTCAGCTGCAGGAAGCCCACAGCGAAGCCAAGAGGATCTCCGCCCAGGCCAAGCCGGCTTATCAACCCGCAGCAGAAGCACTTCATGGGCCCATTCACCTCAATCAAAGCTGCTATTTAGGTAACAAGCCAAGATGGCGGATATCGCTGCGCTCCAATTAGCTGGTGTGTCTCCTCCATCTTTGTTGCCAGGTTTGCCACAATTCTCCTCAGTGTGCCGAGTCCAGCTGCTTTGGCATGGCAGCGCTTCCACCCGGGAGAGCGGGAGAACAGAAGGCCACTGTCACTTCTGGTCTCGCTCACACGCTGGTCATTGATGTGCAGGCTTCGGAGGGACTGTCCGCGCATCTGTGCAGCGAGATTACAACCAGCCAGCGATTGATTAGCAGAAGAGTACACATGATTATGATACAAAATATGGCACTACACATGGTAACAAAATCAATCAGAAAAAAATGAAATTGCTTTCATTACAGTAGGCCTTTGAGAGCAGATTTGCAGCTCTCATATGCCTGAAATGAGATGTGAAAGGAGTAGTGGTGTAAAAATTGCAAATTAGAAAAACTCACTAAAGTCATATTTAAAGACAGCCACAATTGTAAAGCTCCAGTAAGTAAACAGTTCTAAAAACATGTTCCCTAACTGCGAGCAGACTTCATCCTGTTTGTTTCCATGGAAATGTTGTTTCTTTGGCTCTAGTCTTCACAGTATGGCACAAAAACCTCTATCCATCCATCTACCAGTTATTACTGATATACTTGTCTTTACATTAACACTATCTTATTGTTTTTAATTCATATTAAAAAGCTGCGCGCTTGTAAAGTAGGAAGCTGTGAAAGGCGTCTCCATTGTATGTCCGGCTCCAGAATGATTGGAGTAGGGATTCGCACAATAATACCTACAGATCGGGTGCGTAGGAGGAGAGGCCTGTATAGCCTAATGTCAGAGAGAGAATAAAAATTAATTGTTTAAATTGCAATGTTTCGGCGTTATGCCTTCATCAAGCAAATATGCTTATATTTGCTTGATGAAGGCATAACGCCGAAACGTCGCAATTTAAACAAGTAATTTTTAATTTTCAAGTAAGACGGTGTGCGGGATTATTCTCTCTCCGGCTCCAGAATGATACCATGGGACATGTGGCTTCCACTGCTCGCCTTTTTCCCCACTCGATTTTTTTTCTTTAACCATTGGGTTAGGGTGAAGAGAAAAAAAAGACTTGGTATAACTTTTTTTATGGACCACCCGATCTGGACAATCCAACAAAATAATCAACAGCCGTGTCAAGAATGCAATTTAGACATGAACAAAATGTGTGATTGTTTAATACCCCATGTTCATAAAATCAGTAATTTCTCATTTATAAATATCATTTTCCACCCTTTCCAGGGACAAGAGCCCTCCATAAATCTGGTCAGAGACAATATGCTACAAGAAACATCTAGAATAATCAAATGCTATACAGAAATTGATCTATAGCAAACGTTCCAACTGCTCCAATTTTCCTTCAGGCGCCGTATCCCATGAGTCACCTGTGTCTCTCTCCAACTGGCAGTTCAGTGTCTCCCCACATTGTCATGTACAGTAGCTCCTCTCCATCACCACATTCTATCCTATACGTGTCTGCTAAGTCCAAATACCTAAATCATGCATGTGTTTCATGCAAATTAACATAATCTAATACATCGTTTGGTCTTCCCAGATTTAAATGATGAGACGCACTGAGGACCCAAAGAAAGGGAACTAAATCAGTCATTGTGATACTTTTTTCACACAATCAAATATGTAAATGACTCAATGATATCACACTATACTTTTATGGTGCTGGTCAGTTATACTTTCTGCTGTTGCACTTGTTTCTCCTGAGAGTCCGTCCTCCTCTCCGCACTGTTCAATCAGACTTCTCAGACTTCTTGTTCTGTGTTCAAAAGAGCAAGTTCAAATGTCATTTTATCATTCATACATAGAGGACCCCAAACTAGGACTGCATTTACATAAAGCATTCCACAAACATTGCCTTTTGTTGAGAGGCACACTTGAGCGACCGGAAAGCAGCTTAAATAACTACTAGAGCATGCACTCGGAGAACACATGCCCCGCCAACAACAAGAATCATGTCAAAAGTTGGACTTTTGCACTAGTCTAAAGTGTTTTACAATTGTTGTGGGCCTTTCTCCTCTCACTCCACACAGTGATGGGAGTGGGGTCGCCATCCAGGAGGTGAATGCCAGATCTTTTGTACGTACTTTTAGTGGAAGAGGAAATTGGAGCTCCCGATGTGAGGAGAACATGCAAACTCCACACAGACAGGCCCAGTCTTGGAGGTGAAGTCGAACCCGCTGTGCCGAGCTGTAATAACTCAACTTTTTTGCTCTGAACATAATAATAACCAAATTGAAAAGCCATGGATTGCTTTTGAGTTTGATATTTGAACACAGCACAGATGATTATGTAAAAAGGAGCTAGAGTCTCCTCGACAGTAGCTCAGTTGGTAGAGCATTGGCTTTAAGCCCAGAAGGTCGTGGGTTCAATTCCCACCTCTGCACCTTCTCCACCGACTCCCACTGATGACTGTTGTCGTTGTGTCCTTGGGCAAGACACTTAACCCCACTTTGCCCAAAGCCCCCACTGAAAGATCAAGGCTATGCTCACACTCGGAGAGCAGCCGTCCTCCTGTGGACTCACCACCTGCAGAGGGTCAGTGAGGGGCTGGTGCTATGAGACTTGGGTGGCATCTCTGACTGCCACCCCCCTGACCCAGAAATGGATTAAAGGGTAGAAAATGGATGGATGGAGCTAGAGTCTGTGTTCCGCTCTGCTCTCCTGGGTCTGGACTTGTGCCCGGGAGTTGGTCGTCACTTCTACCCGCTGCAGGTCCAGGTCCTTCTCACTGTTGACACTGCCCCTAGTACACAATACATGAGAAGTATTCAGCTGACCCTGCCCAACCCTCTGGCATAATGCAATCATGCTGTTGAAAAATAGTTTAATAGATGCTTGAAGACTTGTAAATACCCATTAAATTCACCCATGACAAAAAAAGTAAAAATGCTTTAAAATAGACTGGAAACAAACAAAACATTACCTGGCTGCGATCTGGGAGCACTCACTCAAATGATTTGCATTTTACTGCAGCTCTGACAGTTATGAGGAGGAGAATTGACATGTTTTGTTTGTTGTTTGTGAAAAACAGAGATTTCTACACAAAATCATTCCCACTTTGCATTTAAGAAAGAGAAATTGCCTCAACTGATGGAGAAGGAAGCAATCTTCAATAGGAGGATACCTTTAGTGCGTTTCGACAGATAGATTATTTCTTAGATAGATAGATAGATAGATAGATATTATTTATTTCAAAATAACACTCTTGAGTGTAAAGAGAATCAGTTTAAAGGTTGTTAAGGATTTGTGGATGTATTTCTGTTTCAGCTGTCATCACTGAGACTACATTTATAATATGTCATTTAACTGGCCATCTTCTTTCACTTCGGGCAGGTAAGAGAGGTCCTCGTGTCCTACTTCCTGGTCCGAGAATTGTCCTTTGGTGTTCCCAAAGCCACTTCAACAGGCTTTTCACCAAATGGAGGAGAAACATACAACATCAAGTGGGAGCCGACCATCAGCTCCCTCATCAACAAGGCCCAGCAGAGGATGTACTTCCTGCGGCAGCTCAGGAAAGCCAAGCTGCCTGCACAGATGTTGGTGCAGTTCTACACGGCCATCATCGAGTCCATCCTCACCTCCTCCATCACCGTGTGGTTCGCTGGAGCCACAGTCAGGGACAAACAGAGACTACAGCGCATTGTGCGCTCTGCAGAGGAAGTGATCGGCCGCAGCCTTCCATCGCTGCAGGACCTGTACGTCGCCCGAGCTCGAGGCCGGGCTGGTCGTATCACAGCCGACCCCTCTCACCCTGCACATGGACTATTCCAACCACTCCCCTCAGGCAGGAGGCTGCGGTCCATCAGGACTAGAACCTCCCGCCACAAGAACAGTTTCTTCCCCTCTGCTGTTGGACTCTTGAACACTTCTTAACCTCCCCGCCCTCTAGAAGTCCCCTACTGCTCTTTATAAAGTCACTTTACTGCCCATTATAATGTCACTTTACTGCCCATCATACGTCACCTTACATTGTGTGCACCATGTGCACTGTATATTGTATTGTATATAGTAATTGTAACTCTATTTTAATTTTAATTTTAAATGTATTCCTTAGAAGTGTTTTTTATTCTTTTTTATTTTATTTTATTCTCTCTCTCTGACTGTTGCACCGAGCCAAAGCAATTTCCAAGTCTGTGACCTCCTGTTACTTACGTGGCAATAAAAATGATTCTGATTCTGATTCTGACTTCAGGTTATCGAAGCATCAAGTAATGGGTGCTCCTACTTGGTCTGATAGAAAACCTGCAGACACACCATTTTGGACCCCTGGACCAGTGAAATAAATGAATTATGGTTCTTTGCAAAGTTCTTTGAAACTAGAACATCAATTCCTATGGACTTTTTGAAGGTCAGCCATGAGCTCTGAGGATATACAGTATTTGTCAGTTACTGTACAGTATCAGTCTATACAGAGCACTTTAATAATTTTGCCTTTGTATTGAAACTGTTTTAGTCGATTGATTTCACAGTGTCAATTGTTTACTGTTTTGTCTGTTTTATTTATGTACTTGTCTTGTGCACACTGGAGACTTTTGCAAATATCCCAATGTGGTTTTACTGTAAATGGCAAATAACTGTATCTGGATCTGAATTTAGGAGCATAAATCCTACTTCTAAATGAGAAGTGGATAATATTTTGTGCAAACGTTCTAAAGCTGTATGTGTATTCCTTAGGTACCGAGGCGCACTAAAGGTCTTAACGAGGGAACCATGTTGTAATGCGGTTCAATGCTCCAAAAAGTGACCTCCCCATCCTGGTATAATAAAAAATTGTGTTCTTTCTTGAGTTTGATACTGGACACTCCCTGTCTTAATCTACTCATTATGTCCTCACATTAATAGCAGCTCTACATTTTAATTGCTTCCCCACTGAAGGATGAATAAAGGTTTTTCTTAGCTTATCTTGTCATTGAGATTGTCCTGTTTACCTGCAGCTCTTGGTGATCTCCAGCTGCAGCCTCTGCTCTGTCCTCCACCCTCTGACTGCATCTCTGAGCCTCTACAGATGCTCCCACTGCTCCCCCAGCTGCTCCCTTAGGGCCTGCAGCTCACTCCACAGAGCTGCTTTTGTAGACTCGCTCTGGGACAGGCCCAAAGCGGGACAGACCAGCAGCAGCGCAAAGCACCTGAACAATCACATTAGTGCAATAAATGTGTGTCCAAGCAGCAAGAAAAGGGAATGAACAGCAGGTGTGAAAATAAGTCCAATTAATGTTACAATTTCAGCATTACTTGGAAGAGGAAAAGAAGGTCCGAGGCAGAACTGACTTCTAAGTAAAAATCCTTTATTACCGAGGGACAGTAAGGCGTTCCAACCGATTAGGTCTTCATCAGGGCAGACAGTTGACCTGATGAAGACCTAATCAGAGGAAATAATTTATGCAGCCAGATTTTGGTGGGATAAATCTGAAATTTTGCCTCCCCATGTTTAGTCCTGACTCTGGGCACCAGCAGAAGTCTCTCTTCAGAGTCTGAGTTTGTTCATATGGCTCTCCATGGCCTCGCACTTTGGTGGCCATGGAGAGACTTGAACACAAGCAGAGATGATTTAAAGTCTATTCTCTGAGCCACAGGAAGCCAGAGCAGAGACCAGGATTAATGTGACCAGAGTCACAAAGCGCTTTACAATTGTGGGCATTTGTCTCTCACTCCACACAGAGATGGCAGCGGGGTCGCCATACACGAGGCGCATGCCAGACTTATGGTACATGTTTTTAGTTTGTGGTAGGGGAAACCGGAGCACCCAGAGGAAACCTACGCAGACACAGGGAGAACATGCAAACTCAACTCTCAAAAGACCCTGTTCTGACTGGGATTCAAACCCAGGACCTTCTTGCTGAGAAGCAAGAGTGCTATCCACTCAGCCACCGTGCCGCCGAAATTCAATTCAATTACATTTGCACCAGCGAATTTCAAGATATGTACCTATTTGACAAAATATTCTAGATCAGACATTTTGTTGTTTTCAAAGAACACATTACATCTGCGACCCCTTTTAATTCAGGTATAAGTGGAAAGCGCAGCCGTTGTATCACTACATTTTGTCACTTTAGTTGGGACAGATAAATCATTGAAAACCTGTGACAATGCCATAACAGAAGGAAAATCCAATTCAAGCAAACCCCGTTTGATGCAGTAGGTCGGATAAGAAATTCTGCTGTGGCCCAAACAAAACAAAGGCATATCCATAAAACATGCCAGCGTGGGAGTGCCACACTGAGGAGCCTGACTCCACGCCAGGAGCAGGGGGGCCTTATTTAACCAGCGGAGCATGCTTCAGGCTGCATGAATAAAAAGTCAAGGTGAAGACTTATTGAAAGAAATCTGAAATGTATTTTAATCTATGCGGTTCCACAGTTTATACAATAATTGTTGGATTTCATTCAACCAAGAAGCATTTGGCAGCAACAAAGGTTTGCACCTGAAAAGATATAAGAGTTGGACAGTAAGAAATGCAGTAGTGTCAGGGTTATTATCTCCATCTGCTAAAGGGATGTTACATCAACGTGTCATTTTTTGCAAAAAGACTCCTGTATCTGTCCACAGTATAATAGTTGAAATTCTATATTTTCTTGCCAAATGGAAAAAGACAAATCTGAACCTTTTTGCAGCCATCACAAAGTTACATTCTCTTTCAGTAAGCGTTCAGATTCCAGTCATTGCACAAATCAACACTTTTGGGCATTGAGCCGAAGAGTTAAATCCCTGTGTCAAGGCCTGGGAACATCCACGCTGCCAACCGCTGTCCAAACACAGATCAGCGAGCTCCTAAAACCAGCTGGATCCCAACTCTCTGCACCAATACCATCTCAAAAATACTTTAGAGATTCAGTCATACCACCCAAGGCAGCTCAGATGTGCAATATGTTCCATGTTTATAATGACATCACTCTAGGGTCAGTTTTATAATAACTGTTTGATTTTTGAGCCTTTTGAGCTCACACACATCACTCTTTGTTGAACCCTGTCAATCCATGTCCCCATATGGTCTAAAGAACAAGATATGAGTGATTGGAGTGGGTGATTTCTTAGAGATGGGTTGAAGGTTTTGGAGCTTAGAGTGCAGCCACTGCTCCTCGACGCCGATAGGAGCTATCTGAGGAGGTGATGGGAACACCCTGGGGTTCCTGGAAGATGGAACATTTCTCATGGAAGAGGAAACCTGGGCATCTCTTGTGTGAATGACTGAAAGGACTACATGTAAACTGTACTTCCCATAAGGTTTTCTTTCACTGTGTTTGTTAATGTGATTTCTTATTGCAATGATGTGACAAATGTGACAAAGGCCAAACAATACACACATGGAAAAACTATAAATGGAACTGGAGTATGATAAGTTACATACTCCAGCTTCGACCGAGGTCAGTTCAAAACAAGATTTTTCCTCGGGTTTTTCTCTAATAACTTCACTCTTTCAGCAGGTGAAGGCTGCACTGACCCCTGCTCTGCTGCTAATGAGACCATGCATTCGCCAGGACTCAGGGACGTCCCCATTACAAGCTTTTGAGAGAGAGGAAACATATCTGGACAGTCCGGGATGCGCACGGTGAGTTTGCTTACAGAATGTCGGAGAGATCAGTTTGCAGTGATGAGATACTGCGCCAGGATGTTGTGTAAAGCTGGGGTACTTCACTTTCAAACCACAACAATCAAACTATGCCGTAAAATTCATGTTGAGGGGTCTGAAAAAGTTTTTGTTCTAATAATATTGTCCACATGTGTAAACTATTCGATTTTTGGCCTCTGTCCCATTTGCATGACATATATTATATAGAGACTTTTTCAGACATAAAAAGAGGACCACCCTCATTCAGCCAATCAGCTCTCAGACGAAATAGTGATTCAAAGGTCGACAAAGTATTGCTGGGTTGCAGCTGACGTCACGTAGCAGCGCGACAGTCCTCCGAGGGACAGGAAGTAAAAATGCACTCATTCCGAGTCAAAATGCTCTTTTTCTGTGGCGTGTACAGTTGTGGCAACTGCTCATATCAAGTGGGGAACTTATGGAGTCTCTCTTTCGCTAAAATGTATTTCACTAACGGGTGTTGATTTTTAGGAAAATGCCTAACAAGGAACGGTTGAAATGCGCAATCATTAGCATTAGCATTAGTCTGCGTAGCATCTGCGGCCACAGACACAGCTGACTGTCCACAGTCTTTACTTCGCTGACTTTCATAGATATTTTGCAGTATTTTTGTTGTAGTAGCCGAGGGAACACAGAGAAAGAAGTGTTAAATACATGTTTTAATGCCAAAGGTTGTCTCAAACCAACATGTACATGTGTAACAAAGCTAAAAGCAGGCTTTACAATAGTTATGCTATCCCCCGGAGCATAACAAATCACCAAAATGACAATAAAGAGTTTTTTCGCCTCAAATGTTGTTAAAAGTAACATTTGTGCCCTAGTTATTGCATTATTGATCAGAACTATCATCTGCTCTGTTGATACCAGAGTGACGAGTTCCACTGTCGTCACTATAACAGCCTTAATCCTCCTCATTGATGAAAAAATTGGACTCATTCAAACCCTACAAGGCGTACGCTGCATTGGAAATATTTTTCACTCAAAATAAGAGTGATATTAAGCCGCGAACAGCTCCTGTGTGTGCGTTTTCCCGCATTGCCCATTCTATTTAATAGGAGAAAAATACTTCCTGTCCTACGGCCCCATGCCACGCCCCCTTCTGGTCACGTGGTTGCAACCCAGCAATACAAATCAGTTTGTTTTACAGCACTCTTTCAGTTGGAACAAACAACATGTGTTATTTTTTGGTTACCTCCCCTTTAAGTCTTGTTTTCTCTTGTTGTGTACCATTATTTCTTGATTGTCACGTTTAAAGCTACAGTTTAATTCCAAGATATGCAATAACAATCAGCATAATGCCATGATAAATGTAGGAGAAGCTTCTTTCAGACACACACACACACACACACACACACACACACATATGCAGCCTGTCAAAATTCTTATGCTCTTGTCGCTTTCTCCAATCAAATAGTTAATTATAAGCCTAAAATTCTGTGTCCATACAGTGATGTCAAATGAATAATAAGGAGTGATTGACACATTGCGTGGTAAACCAAAGGCTCAAAGGTAATGCTCCAAGTCAATTATGTAAATATTATTGAGGGACATTTTCTTTTTCACACTTTGTGCCTCATATTTGTACATTTAAGGTGCTATATTTTAAGAAATAAACCTGTCACTCTCTGAATATGCATCATTAATTTGCCTCCCACATGTCCTGCCGAAAAGTGTGTGATTTAAAGCCTTCGCAGTCAGAGGGCGACATTTAAATTCACAAAGTGCCCTGCCACCGTCACTCTGCGCTTTTAGACAATTTGCTCTTGGTTCCACCGCTCTGGTACAAATCGAAATGACAGGATAGTGCAACATGATTAGTAATGTTGAGGTATTTTTCATGCGTTTGAAGATTTGATGAAAATATCAAGTTATTTACTGAACATCAAAGCTCTGATATAATTGTATCATTCAATCATAATGTCAAATTTATAATATTGGGAGAGCGGGGAAACTGGTACAAATATCACTTTGGCGGTACGAAGGCGCAGCAGAGCTTGTGTATCAAAGCAAGAAGGTGTGGAGTTTGCATGTTCTCTTCATGTCTGCAGGGGTGAGTGAATAGATGGTGTTGGTCGGGGGCCGGAAAAATATCTATACTCCATGGACAATGTAAAGTGCTTTGTGAAGCACGATAAATAGATAAGGACTTCTTACTTACTCACTCTCTTATAGCCTTGAATCAAATTGGAGAAGGATGTTTGAATGTTATCAAACGTCCACTAGAGACGTCATTCCACTTTTCAGAGATTTAAAAGTTAACTTGACTTTTGCTCAAGATGTGTTCAAGGCATCTATAGGAACTCTCTGCACTTCATGTACAAACCCTGTTCCATGACAGAGATGTGCACCTTAATCACAGTTTGAGAGGAAGATATTTAGAACTATATTTAAAATCTCTGTGTGTGTGTGTGTGTGTGTGTGTGTGTGTGTGTGTGTGTGTGTGTGTGTGTGTGTGTGTGTGTGTGTTGTGTGTGTGTGTGTGTGTGTGTGTGTGTGTGTGTGTGTGTGTGTGTGTGTGTGTGTGTGTGTGTGTGTGTGTGTGTGTGTGTGTGTGTGTGTGTGTGTGTGTGTGTGTGTGTGTGTGTGTGTGTGTGTGTGTGTGTGTGTGTGTGTGTGTGTGTGTGTGTGTGTGTGTGTGTGTGCTGTTGATTCTCTAACAGGTGCCAGAGTGGGGTGGCTGCGACTGTATAGTGCCAAGCTTTTGCTGTGTCCTTAGGCAAGACACTTCACCCATATTGCCTAGAATGAGTCTGGTGTGTGAATGGCAATGAACGGACACAGCCATTGGTCCACAGGGAGCAGGATGACCACTGTTCGGAAAAGTTTATAATGTCCGTAGATGTCGTGAATCATCACTGACCTCCAGGAGTCAGGCTGTAGAACAAGGACTGAGGCATAAAGAGCGTTGAACAGGCATTTTTGCTCAAATGAAAGAAGTTGCTGATCGCTAACTTGATCTGCGGCCATAGCAAAGCTTACAGGGCCTTTAACGTGAGGTTTTTTCTGCTAGTGATTTTGGTGATGTGTGAATTTGCGTCATATTACATGGTTTTATATCAATATTGAGATGAGCCACTTATGCCTTTTGAGAAGAAGCATGAAAAGTATAATCAAACACATTTCATTCATAAATGTGCTTTACCCAGGCCTCGCAGAGTCCCCAGGTGAGTGATCATGTAGTGGCTGATGGTGTGATTGGCCAGAGAGTCGAACATGCTGCTGAGCGCCGAGGCCCCAGCTGCCGTCCCGAACAAATACTCCAGAATCAGGTTCCAGCCAATTAAGAAGGCCACAAACTCCCCCACGGTGACGTAGCTGTAGGTGTAGGCTGATCCCGTGGTCTTTGGGACGCGCACACCCAACTCAGCGTAACACACACCTGAACATACGTCACACAGCATTCTTTTTTAACCATATACTACCCAGACAAGTGAGTCTGTATGTATACTGAGACAAGAGAGGTCTGAGCTGATGAGCCTCTGCCATATACTACGCTGCGGTGTGCTGGGCCCCGGGCAGCACAGAGAGGGACAGGAGTAGACTGAACAAGCTGGTCAGGAGGGCCAGCTCCACTCTGGACTGCCCCCTGGACTCTGTGGAGAAGGTGAGAGACAGGAGGCCCCTGGACTCTGTGGAGGAGGTGAGGGACAGGAGGTCCCTGGACTCTGTGGAGGAGGAGAGGGACAGGAGGTGCTAGTCAAAGTCACCTCCATCATGGACAACACCTCCCACTGCACAGGACTGTAGAGGAGCTGAGGAGCTCCTTCAGTGGAAGAACGAGTGCTACCACAGGGCCTTCATCCCCACTGCTGTCAGACTGTACAATAAGTCAATCTAAGTCACATGCATTAGGACTGAAAAAACCTGCACTACTTATTGACACTTGACTGCCACTTTTGAATAGACACTTTTTATTGTACATAATATATCCTGCATTCAACATGTTTGCACATTTCTTTCTTTTGCACAATCTTGAGTGTTTCTGTCCATGCCAGATGTGACATGTAAATTTCTCCAGTGTGAGATCAATAAAGTCTATCTTATCTTATCTTAAATGTAGTTCTACAGTTGATTAGCACAGGTTTAACTATATTGTATAAACTGTATGTATTTTAAACGTATACAATGTCAAGAATAAAACACACCATATCTACTCTTTAGTCATTGCTCTCAAAACACAGCTAGCCTGTATGGGGATTGATCCCACATCCTTGGCATTATTAGCAACACGCCCTTTCCAACTGAGCTGATCAGCCTTTGTATCATCAATTTTTGAGAGCAATGTGCATTCATCAAACCTCAAGTTCTATTTATGTATTTTCACAGTTTATGAATCTATCTTTATCTCATTTTTATTATGAACAAAGGTAAGCAGGGACTTCTAGACATATCATATCAGGAGCTGCAGAAATTAAATCATTATCTCACAATGTCAATAACTTTCCAATTGCACCTGTTTTCCTTTGGCATGATCTTGTTGATATTCAAGGGAAAACACATGGCAAGGTGGGGGCTTACAATAAAAAAACATGCAGTAAATTAAAAAAAGGCCTAAAGAACCCTTTCGCGTTTTTGATGCTATGAGCACTTCACCCCAGTTCTTTGTTCACTTGACTGGCCCTTGACTGGAATGTGATTCTTCACAAATCACATTCAAAGCTCTTGAGTTAGCAGTCACTTTTAATTAAATTGTGTTAATTTTTTACTTATTTTGTAATTATCTTGTGTGTTCAATCCATATCTATTATAATTTTCATAATTAATTTCCTTTATTTTCAATGAGGATTCTTTGCCAACATGTAAAGTAGCTGCAAAAAATTGCCACGGTAACAGAAGCATGGAATATTCTATCATCATGGCAACAGGGATTCCATTAGAATCATTACGTCATCAAAGCTAGGGTCTGCTGTGTTTGTGTGTCTGTCTGTGATTCGTAAATAAGGTCAGACAAAAAACGGACTAAACGGATTAAACGGAGTAAACTGAGCAAAATGGCGTGTTTTAGAAGGCAATCAAAGAAAGACAAGTTGATTGAAAAGCTTGAAGACGATGTGATCGTGTTGGAGAAAAAACACAAGAGTCTTTTGGAGGACCTGCAGAGGGAGAAAATGCAGAGGAATGAAATGGAGAAGACTCAACTGGAAGAACGTCGCCAACAAGAGGAGCAGGTGATCCAGCTCCAGACAGAGAGATCTGCCTTGGAGACTGCTCTGTTGCAGGCGGAAAAGAGATCTACCTCTACTCAAGAAAAACTGGATTCTACCATTCAGGAGAAGACAGCTATCCAAGAGGAACTGCAGAAGGCCCATGAGGACAATGAGGCCTTGGACATTGCAATGAAGACGTCTGCTAAAAAGACAGACGCAGTGATTGGAGATCTGCAGAATGAGCGTCGTCAACAGCAGGAGAAAGTGAGCCAGCTCCAGACTGAGAAATCTGCCTTGGAGACTGCCCTAATGCAGTCAGAGAAGAACTCTACTTCTATCCAAGACAGACTGAATTCCACCATTCAGGAGAAGACAGCTATCCAAGAGGAACTGCAGAAGGCCCATGAGGACAATGAGGCCTTGGACATTGCAATGAAGACGTCTGCTAAAAAGACAGACGCAGTGATTGGAGATCTGCAGAATGAGCTTGTGCATGTCAAGTCTGAGAACAATATGACGATAGACTGCCTGAAATCTTGCATACAAGAAGGCGACTGTTTCATAAACAAGCTCAAGACCCAGATGCAGGACAGAGAGACGGCAAATACCCGTCTGGAGGAAAGTCTGGCAAGCACCCAAAAGGAGTTGAAGGAATGTAGCACAAATTTCCTTCTGAAAAACTTTGAAATTGCCAAGATGGAGGAGGAGAATGGGAAACTCACAGCTCTGTGTCAAAAGTTCAAGACAAAAATACTGGATATGGAACAGCAGCTGAAAAACTTGCACGCTGCGTTGGAGAAAAGTCTTCTTGTGGCCCAGAAAAAATCAAAAAATGAGGTGGAGGATGTCAAGAGGACCTGTGAACACTCCATTCGTGAGCTGAGGAAGCAGGAGGCCCACGCAAACGAGACAATTAAAGAGTTGAAGACCAAGCTCTTGTGTCTGGAAAAGCATTTTGAAGACATGAAGAAAAAGTCGGAGGAAGAATACAAGGAAGTGCAGAGGATGAAGCAAAGTCATCAAGAAAAGATTCCGCCGGCCGCACTGGGCGGAGAAGAGGACCACACCGAGAGAACCGCTGATGTTCTGGTAATTGGCAGCTCTATTGTAAGAGATGTTGAGATCCCAGGGGCCACTGTTCTGTGCTACCCTGGGGCCAGGATGGGTGACATTGAGGGGAATCTGAGGGTCCTGAACCAAAGCAAGCAGCGTTTTCGTCTAGTCGTCGTTCACGCGGGTGGCAATGACGTTAGGCGAAAACAAACAACAGCAGAGATGTTGAAGGTGCACGTTGCCGCCTTTTGTAATCTGGCGAGCACAATGGCGGACACGGTTATCTTTTCTGGTCCCCTTCCTAGCACCGGCAGTGAAGAAGCATACAGCAGCATGTTATCTTTCCATCGCTGGCTGTCTGGTTGGTGCCCTCAACATGGTGTTGTCTTTGTTGACAACTGGAGCACCTTCTTGGGAAAGCCCGGTCTCATGCGCCCAGATGATGTCCACCCAACATTGAAGGGTACAGCCCTTTTGATCAAGAATATGGAAATGACTCTAAGTTCTCTGACCCGCTCAAATGACAGTCCGCCACAACCTCTGAGTTCCCACCAGAGAAGAAGACAAAACCTCCGAGTGCAACGCTGGTAAAAACACAACAATGTGTTGTGTTTAGGCCAAACCAGCCACCACAGGTCACAATCAACACAACCGGACAGAAACCAAAACCGAAGAAGACACCAATACCAACAAATTCCTTTAACTCCCAACTCCCATTACCTAAAGTCTGATAGAACTTTTCCACAATGACAACATAGACTTCCAAACAGCAAATTCCAAAGTGTTAAATTCAGATCCCTACTCAGCGAAAGGATTTGTAAGTACTCTTTTTATATACAGCTTATCTTTTGTAAACCTGCATAAATAATTTTCAATATTTTTTGTTCAAAAGGAGCACCTTTATGACCCTCTGGGTGGGTCTGGTTACCTGCAATGGTTAAGTTAACCCGAAAAGAAAGCGTTGGCTAAAACTTAAAGACCAGCTATTCGGAGATGACTGCCAAGAAGCTATAAAGATGCTGACTCTCTAAACACGTCAAGCGATCACAAAGGATACTTTTCAATTGCCATTTTCTAGTACATGACCAACAAGGCTCTGTCTCTTTTGGATGTTTTTTCCAAGATTACTTGTGTGACGGGGTTCTGAATGTGAAATAAAATGATGGCGCAGCCAGAGTACTTTTAAAGTTTTATTCCCAAAATAAAGAATAATAAAGTAATTAAGAATAAAGTATTGAAGTATAAAGTATTGAAGTATAAAGTATCGAAGTATCGAAGTATCGAAGAGGAGTGCTGTACCAAAAACAAACCAGTGATTAATATATTTACAGTATTTACAGAAAAAACCACATTGCAAGAAGGTCTCCTGGCTTACCTCCTCTGTCCCAGTTCAGACTCACACTGACACTGACAGTAGAGGCTGGCCTAGTCTTAAACCCCTCTGGCTCCTCCTACATGTCAATTAAGTCATAAACTTTTAGTTTCTACATAAACCATGATTACGTTCATAATAACAAAAATATGGATAAATCCACAATCAACTCCTCTACTGTAGAGTTCTCCTCTGCACCTGTAGACTACAGAGGAAAAATAATAAAATACATTTCCCAAAAAAAACCCGAAAAATACGATGACGTCACCAATGACGTCAGACGCAGACGTACGTGCGAGGCGCTCAAAACAGGAAGCGCGGACTGCGCTCGGTTTGCCGGGTTGGAGTTTGGTGGGGAGACGGATACTGAGTGGAAACTTTATGGAGTGCAAAACTATGGATGGGAATGGTTAACCAGAGGCCTAGTGTGCACCCAAGACAACTGGGATGAATTAATGAACGAGGATGGGAACGGAACGGACTGACAAGGAACAGGAACGACAAACAGGCAAGTGAGTTAGGTATGTATGCGTGTGTGTGTGCGGGGGAAGTGCGCGCGGACTGGGGAGACTGCCCTGGGCATTGACGGAGGCTGCTCCGTCACATTATCCTTCTCCTCCCGAAGGTTGACAAAGTTTTGGCAACCTGGACAGGTAGTCGGCTACCAAATTGGATCTGCCAGAACGGTGGCGGACAGCAAACTTGAAGGGCTGCAATGAAAGATACCACCGAGTCAGACGGGCATTGTGGTCTTTCATAGAGTTGATCCATGTGAGGGCTCTATGGTCCGTTTCTAGATCAAACTCTCTACCAAGTAAGTAATATTTTAGACTCTCTAGGGCCCATTTGATGGCTAATCCTTCCTTTTCTACAACGGAGTAGCGGGATTCTCGGGGTAATAACTTGCGGCTCAGGTACAGGATCGGCTGCTCAGCTCCAGACTCTCCTTGGGTAAGTACAGCTCCCAGACCCACCTCCGAGGCATCTACTTGCACGAGGAACCGACGGTCAAAATCTGGACTGCGGAGAACTGGAGAAGAACAAAGCAGATTCTTTAAAGTATTAAAAGCTTCTTCACATGCTTCTGTCCATGTTACCGGGTTCTTTTTATCTTTTGTCGTTAGGGCTGTGAGTGGTGCTGCGATTGTGGCAAATTGCGGCACAAACCTCCGATACCATCCAGCGAGACCCAGGAAGGATCGAACCTCCTTCTTGGTTCGAGGACGAGGACACTTCTGGATAGCTTCCACCTTATCCAACTGCGGTCGCACCTCTCCTCTACCGAGCTGGTAACCGAGGTACCGGGTTTCACGGCGAGCCCACTCACATTTGGCCACATTTAGGGTCAAACCAGCTGCCTCGATCTTCCTCAGCACGGCCCTCAAGTGACGCACATGCTCATCCCAGGTTGGGCTGAAAATGACAACGTCATCCAGGTATGCAGCGCTGAACTCTTCACATCCTTGCAGTACACGGTCCATCAGACGCTGGAATGTTGCAGGGGCACCGTGCAAACCGAAGGGCATTACCGTGAACTGGAAAAGTCCGGCTGGCGTTCTGAACGCGGTGTAAGGTCTGCTTGAAGCCTCCAGCGGCACCTGCCAATAACCTTTACACAGGTCCAACGTTGTGATGTAGGCTGCTGAGCCAATGCGATCGAGGAGATCATCAATCCTCGGCATCGGGTATGCATCAAACTCTGAGATGGCATTGAGTTTCCGGAAATCAATGCAGATCCTCAAGGATCTATTTTTCTTAAAAACAATAACAACTGGACTACAACACTCTGATGTAGACGGCTCGATGACTCCAAGCTCCAGCATGGACTCTACTTCTTGCCGAAGTTGGGCCACCAGCTGCTGAGGGACACGGTAGGGTCGCTGACGTACAGGATTTTGGTCCTTGAGATGAATGACATGCTCGATCAGCGTTGTCCTTCCGGGTTCGGCAGCAAACAGTGAGGGCGTTCCTCTGAAGACTTCAAGGAGATTGGCAGCTTGGTCTGCAGCAAGGTGTGCAACGAGGGGTTCTGAGGGATCGGTGACGATGGGTACACCGGGGTCTTCATCCTCTGCCTCTTCCACCTGCCTCACCAGCAGTGACATCTCTGGCGCTTGGATGGATGGCTCCTTCCACTCTTTCAGGAGATTCACGTGGTAGATCTGCCGGGTCTTCTTTCTGTCAGGCTGATGAATCTCATACGTGACCGGGCCAGTCCTTCGGGTGATTGTGTATGGCCCTTGCCACTTGGTCAACAGCTTGCTGTTGGAGGAGGGAAGTAGTAGGAGAATTTTTTGACCTGGCTGATACGCTCGTTGTCTGGACTGCTGGTCATACCAGGTTTTCTGCTTCTTCTGAGCCTCCTTCAGGTTCTCTTCCGCTTCATCGCGATAGGTTGCCAACCTGTCCCGCATCTGTAAAACATATTGCACAATGCCCTGCTCATTTGAGTTAGTCTCTGGGGCTGTCCAAGCTTTGCTTAAAATATCCATCGGTCCTTGAACGTCCCAGCCATACAACAGCTCAAAAGGGGAGAATCCAGTGGATGCCTGCGGTACCTCTCTATATGCAAACAAAAGGAATGGCAGCCATCTGTCCCAGTCTTTTCCTGTGTCGCTGACAAACTTTTGGAGCATCCTTTTCAGGGTTTGATTGAACCTTTCCACGAGTCCATCAGTTTGAGGGTGATAGGGTGTGGTTCGGAGTGCAGTGATCCCAAGCTGCCTGTGAAACAACTGTAAGAGACGAGATGTAAAGTTAGTCCCTTGGTCCGTCAACACTTCATCTGGAATTCCGACTCTTGAAAACAGTTGAACCATGGCACGAAGAACAGTGGGTGCAGTGATTGTACGGAGTGGGAATGCCTCTGGATATCTGGTCGTATAGTCACAGAGTACAAGAATATATTGGTGACCACGGCCGCTCTTTACTAGCGGGCCAACAATATCCATTGCTATTCTACGAAACGGTGTAGAAATAATGGGCAGTGGATGGAGAAGTGCACGATCAGATTTGCGCGTGGGAGCAGTCTTTTGACATGTCGGACATGTGGTGCAAAACTGTTCAATGTCACGATACATCCCTGGCCAATAGAAACGGGAACTAACACGCAAGTAGGTCTTATGGCGAGCAAAATGTCCAGCCCACGGAAGTGTATGCGCAACATTCAAAATCAGCTGCCTACAAGGTGCAGGGACAACTAGACGTTTCTGAGAATTCTCAGAGATATACAACACATCGTTAATCACAGCAAACTGCTCTTTCCCAGTCACATTAGCATTGACATTAGCTTTAGCATGCAGCTTTTCAAAACAGGCTCTCAATGACACATCTTGTTTCTGTAACTCAGCAATATTGTCAGGAACTTTCCACAGGTCATCAACATTCATGCATTGGTCCTTCTGGTCACTTAGCATTAGCTTTTTCTCAAACCTGCGCTGCCGCTTAGACTTTTTGGGACCCTTTGTTCCTCCCTCAAACAAGTAATCATCTAGGTCAGGCAGGGGTTCCACACCAGCCTTGGCCTGAGCCCTAGTAACAACAGGACATGCTACTTTGCACAGATCATTAACATTAGGAACAGTATGACATTGTCCTTTCTGCAGTAGATCTAGAAGAACAGGTAAGTCAGTACCAAGTACTAAGTCCACAGGTAAGTTCTCTACCACAGCAACAGTCATAAGATACGGTTGGTCATCAATCAGGATAGTCACTTCTGCCTTTGGGTATGTATGGCTGTCCCCATGCACACACAAAATATCAGTTTTTACAGTGTAGTCCAAACAGTTGACAGACACAAAGTTCTTCTTTAACAGGGAGGTGAAACTGCCACTGTCTAACAGTGCTGTCACCTGTTGTCCATTTACAGTCACAGTCTTAAATGTACGTTTCTTTAGTCCCAGAGGGTTAGGATGCTCACTCTCTTCACGCGGTGCATAGCATGCTCCAGTGAGCTTATCCCTCCGCACTGGACAAACGGACGCTTTATGTCCTTGTTGCTGACAGTAAAAGCAAACAAAAGGCTTACCAGTCGCTGGCTGAGTTGAAGCAGAGCTGGGTTTACCTCTGGTGTCCTGACTTGCCTCCCGCACACGGAAGTTGGGTGCAGACGTCTGCGAAGATCGTGGTGCAGAACTGGTGAACCGAGGAGGTCCTCCTCGACGAGCGTTCTGGTGCTGCAGCGCCAATCTGGCCGCGGTAAGACCATCCTCAGGCTCATGCTCTCGGACCCAGGTACGTACGTCGGGTGGTAGTACACGTAGAAGCTGCTCCATGATTAAGAGCTCTCCGATTTGCTCCTTGGTGAGCTGGTCAGGACGAACCCATCTCCGGTACAGGCTCTTGAGGCGATGATATGTCTCAGTCGGGGTCTCTCCAGACGGAACTGTGGGACACCGGAACCGATGCCTATAAGTTTCAGGGGAAATGTCAAATTTGGTTAATAGCGCTTCTTTCAAGTCCTTGTAGCAGTGAGCTTCATCTTCATCCATAGCTGTGTAAGCTTCCAATGCTTTTCCAGACAGCAGTGGTACGAGACGGCATGCCCACTCAGACTCTGGCCATCTCCAAGTCTTAGCTATGCGCTCAAACCGCAATAAATAATTTTCAATGTCCTCCCCAATCTGGAATGGAGGAATCTTTGGCTCCACTGCATATGGTCGCCAATCTAAAGGGGTTGCATTGTCCAGACCAGCAGAACCCTGTTCTGACAGCCGGTGCAGTGTGGTCGACTCGCCCTGGGGTCGCCTTGGAGGTCCAGGGGTTGGCAAATCCATCCTTGGACTGCTTGCCCGAGAAGTTCCTGGAGCCCTAGCTCTCGATGCGGGTGAAGGTGACTGCAGCGTCGTATGGAGGTTACGGATCTCTTCAAGCAGACCCTCCTCTCTCCTCTGCTGACCTTGCATGAAATCCTTCATGAGGACCACGAGCTCTGACATAGGTGGCGCAGTGGCACCACCGTGCTCATGGACCGTAGTCTCCACCGCATCATCAGAAGCATACTCCTCTTCATACTTCCTTTGGGAACGAAGTCCTTTCCTTTTTCTTCGGCTCGCCATCCCACTTCTGACACCATATGTGACGGGGTTCTGAATGTGAAATAAAATGATGGCGCAGCCAGAGTACTTTTAAAGTTTTATTCCCAAAATAAAGAATAATAAAGTAATTAAGAATAAAGTATTGAAGTATAAAGTATTGAAGTATAAAGTATCGAAGTATCGAAGTATCGAAGAGGAGTGCTGTACCAAAAACAAACCAGTGATTAATATATTTACTAGTGATGGGTCGTGCCGCGTCAGCGCTTCGGGGCGTGAGCCGAGAAATCCCTGAAGTTTTTATCGGAGCGCGGGCCGAAGCCTGAGTTGTTTTAGATGAGTGACGTCACTAATGACGTTTGAAGCCTCGGGAGCACAGGAAATGGAGCGATTCATGAAGTACTGCAGAAGATCCGCTCAAACTGTGTGTGTTTGTCTTGGTGATTAATGTAGTCAGTGATGGAGAGGGCGTGATATCAGCTGGTTGGCTCAATTGGTAGGGAAGCAGGGCTGGGACCTGAGAGACCGGGGTTCGAATCTCACCGGGAGTGCATCGATGTAAATACACGTGAAAGAATTTTGTCAGAAATGTTTTGGTTTTAAACAACTGATGGGGTCACAATCCCAGATGATATCCCCATTTGTGTCACGTCCTTTGAAAAGCACTTACACTTTCAACATGTCTTTTGTCCCATTGGATTTATAACATTGATTTTGACTTGAAAAGCTATAATCATTCATCATTAAATATGTATATAAATATATATCTACATATATGTATGTGTGTGTGTGTGTGTGTGTGTGTGTATTAGAGCAGACAACTGTACCAGTACATTATATTTTATTGTCATTTAAAATATATTCATTTTCACTACTGATATTGATCATAATGAAACAGATGAATTAATGGGTCATACACAATCAAATTACATTTTTATTTCTGTTACTAGTATTAATTCCTATGCACCAAGAGCCTCACAAACAGTTCAATTGTCAATACAGATTTTGACCAACAGGAGGTTTGTGAGCATATGAAGCATCAAGAAATGAACCTTTTCTCGAACCAATGGATGAAAAGGTTCAACACTTCATGAAGCTTCATCAACCCATCACTAATATTTACATATTTACAGAAAAAACCACATTGCAAGAAGGTCTCCTGGCTTACCTCCTCTGTCCCAGTTCAGACTCACACTGACACTGACAGTAGAGGCTGGCCTAGTCTTAAACCCCTCTGGCTCCTCCTACATGTCAATTAAGTCATAAACTTTTAGTTTCTACATAAACCATGATTACGTTCATAATAACAAAAATATGGATAAATCCACAATCAACTCCTCTACTGTAGAGTTCTCCTCTGCACCTGTAGACTACAGAGGAAAAATAATAAAATACATTTCCCAAAAAAACCCGAAAAATACGATGACGTCACCAATGACGTCAGACGCAGACGTACGTGCGAGGCGCTCAAAACAGGAAGCGCGGACTGCGCTCGGTTTGCCGGGTTGGAGTTTGGTGGGGAGACGGATACTGAGTGGAAACTTTATGGAGTGCAAAACTATGGATGGGAATGGTTAACCAGAGGCCTAGTGTGCACCCAAGACAACTGGGATGAATTAATGAACGAGGATGGGAACGGAACGGACTGACAAGGAACAGGAACGACAAACAGGCAAGTGAGTTAGGTATGTATGCGTGTGTGTGTGCGGGGGAAGTGCGCGCGGACTGGGGAGACTGCCCTGGGCATTGACGGAGGCTGCTCCGTTACAACTTGACACACCAGATTTAGTTAAGTATACATTACTTTTTGCTTTATTATTTCCACTTCAGTCATAATATAATTCATCATGTCTTCTAGATTAACCAAGACTTTGAGATGATGTTTGGCAGAAATTTTGCTGATAGTTTTGTCTCTAAATGGTCGACTTTATCAAACCAAGGATCCTCGCTGAAAGTCTGGTAAGTTTCTGCTTTTCTAGAATAAAAACCGGATCTCCAGTGGGGAGCTTTAGTATAGCCTGTAATGGGCATCGCCACATGCTGAATTGTCTTTAATAAATTGATCTGTTATTGTAACATACGTATCTGTTTTTGTAACACTTTGTGTTTTCCAGGATGGGATAGCGACATATCCAGTATTTTGCTGTTGGTCACTTGCTTCCACCAACTCCAAAAGGATATAATCAAAGTGACAAGTGGAGCTCACCTCAAGCTATTGACGACCTTGTCAAACATCTGCAGGTACGTTGGTAATATCGAAAGAAACATTCTTTAAAGTTCTCTACTTGTGTAATTTTTTGTTTCCTTTGTAACCATTTATATCTATTATAAGTATGTTTAAAAAGTAACGATCCTCACTATTTTACAGATTGGAGCCTTTACTCTTTTCTTGCTGGGGTGGAGCCTGGACAACCGGTGCTTTTATGTGTTGGTGATGGGAAGCACAACATCCAGATTTTCTACATGGTCGTTGACCATAAGGTGCTCCATACCAGCCACAAACACTTTCTCCGATGGATGAACTCTTCAAGGTGCACTTCATCTTCAGTTGGAACTGTGCAGAGTCGCTCAAAAACTTTTAAATCTACAAACAGACAACGGTCTACAACATAGACTTTGGACAAGTGAAGGAGAACCCCAGAGTCAAAGAGCTCAGAGCAAGGATCCAAAATGCGGAGCTCCAAGGAATCATCTAAAGAGTCTGGACAATGTTTATGTTCCTTCTGTAAAGAACAACATTCCAGTTCTGCAGCACTCTGCCAACATTTAAGGCACAGTCATGGACTATATCCACACAAACATTTGAGAATCAGTTGTGGACATTTGCCGGCTTTAAAAGGCATCTAGCCATTCGTCATAAATTCTAGTTATAATCTATAATTTAGGCTGTATGGATAAAGGGATTCAGGGATATTTGTGATGAGTCAACATTTAAATCACATTAATTATTCTCAAAATCAAACTATGCTCTCCAAATTCAACTTTATTATGACGGGCGGCACGGTGGCTGAGTGAATAGCACTCTCGCCTTTCAGCAAGAAGGTCCTGGGTTCGATTCCTGGTCGGAACTGGGCCTTTCTGAGTGGAGTTTGCATGTTCTCCCCGTGTCTGCGTAGGTTTCCTCCGGGTGCTCCGGTTTCCCCTACCACTAAAAATATGCTCAATAGGTAAAATCCTCCAGCTCTGGTAGTCCTGATCAAGCCTATAGTATCATTATCTAGAGATGGGTTCCTGGGCGCTGTTACTACGGCGACCACTGCTCCACATCAGGATGGGTCAAATGCAGAACTAATTTACATTTAGAGACTAATCCTTTGGGTTCCAAGAAAGGGATACACAAACTAGGTGCTAGTGGGGCGACTGTAAACTTGTCGTTGTGCCCTTAGGCAAGACACTTCACCCACATTGCCTTGTATGAATGTTGTGCGTGTGAATGATGGTGGTGGTAGGAGGGGCCGATAACAGGCAGCCTCACTAGGAGCAGTTTGCCTCAGGGCAGCTGTGGCTAGTAGCTCACCACCACCGTGTGTGGGATGAATGGTTAGGATGCAATAGGAAGCAGTATTTCAGATTTGATTCAACAGTTTGAGAGCACCAATAGCACTTTAGTGTCATGACAGGCCCTTTAAAATGCAAATGATTTGGTAATAATGGTTCCAATGATAGGTTAGTGTAGTTTTCTTGCTATCAAGAGGATGTGGGTCCACAGGCCTGAGTTATATCTGTTCCTGTTGAACCTGTGATCTTAAGGAACCTGCAAGACTTTTAACAGGAGTGGGAGCTGTGCTATGAAATTTTACTTTCAGTAAAATACAAATAAAAATTATATTAAACCAATCAATGTCTGTATACTCAACTTTTTTATTCAAAACTCCTGGGCTCACCAATGACCAACATATTACCAACTTTTACCTTCCAAAAGTGACTCATTAAGTGGGTTTTGGTGAAGAATCGTTGGTGCAATGACAGCTTCATCATCAGTCATGTATTTTTACAGATTTACTTCTGAAACTTAGAGGAAACATAACTTTTCAGTGGTTTTGACCATGTTTCCCCTCATCATTATTCCACGACAATTAGTTTTTTTTATCCACCAAAATTCTGTTCTTCAGTCGTGGTAGTTTTTTAGCGTGTTTTTTTCCCCAAGGATGAAAGAATTGCTGATCACGAATCCCCAAGTGTTTAACACTTCATGATTCAATCATTTCTATCACGTGGAGTGAAAAACATTACATTACTGTACATTTTCATCCCTTTATTCCATTTCTGGGTCGGGGGGGTGGCAATCAGTGAAAAACCCAAACTCCAAAATAATTGTTTTACCAAAAAGTAATACAAATCAAGATCTAGCAAAAGCACCACAAAAATCAATCAATCAATCAATCAATACTTTATTATCTCACAGATGGAGAAGTTCATTTCGATGAATAAACATCGAGGCCGGCTGCGAACAACATATCCGCGCTCCTTATGGCAGTTATTCAACAGCAGAGAGAAAAACAAACATTTCAACAGACATTATTGGATGGAAACAGTACATGCGGGAAAGCATGCAGATCTTTTTTAAGGGACATTATCACTCTGACAGAGGGGGAGTGTGGTGGGGGAGGTGGAGGGGAAGACCACCGTAGACCATAGACTGTATATATTAACGGACAGAGTCACGCCTATCTCCGCCGTTCTAACTAATGGGCCAAAAAATTTTCTCTACTGGAGAAATCCAAAATGGCCGCGAGTGGTCCCGCCCACAAGAAAATTGTGAAAAAAACGCATCTGCGCATGCGTCAGCCGGCGCAGCTCCATTCATTTGAACGAGAAACTTCAAAAATTCATAGCAAGTAAACTAGAGTGGACCAAAACAATTCACCCCCCTCAGCATTGACACATGTGGAACGGAGCTTTGGGCGAAGAGCCAACTTTTGGTCCATCCTGTAAAGACGTTTTCGAGAGGTCTACCAATGCTATATGTTAGCATTGGCTAATTCTTTTTCTGGGTCCACCCCCATCGGCCCGGGGTGGTATTGCAAGCATGTCAGCGCACGTCATTTTGGCCACTTTTGAGCTGGGACCCGCCCCCACTGCCGTAGACAGAAAGAGAGAGAGACAGACATGTAGAGGGAGGGGTGAGCCAAACAACGGGTATACTGATGAGTCTTTAAGTTATGAGAGAAAGTCCATCTTCGGCCTTGAAGGCCGGCTGTGTGGTGGAATGTGACGGACAAAGATAAGAGCAGGTGCCTACGGACGTGGGAGACAAAACAACACATATGCCTTGTGGGAATTTGTAAAGCACTTTTAGCTGGTCAAATCAAAGGCAGTGTAGACTTTAATGCCAAATAAGTCCAAATTAGGAACTGGATCCCTCTGTTCACCGTTATCCAGAGTTGACCACGTCAGTGCGAGTGTTCGCCATGAGGCCCAAGTCCTTCAATCAATCCCTCCAAACGTTTATGTCCTTCCATAGACCTCACTCCCAGGTCTCTAAGGGAGTGTTCGATCTGTACCACAACCCTCTGTGTCCCTACAGCGCCCTCGACCACCACCCTGGTCAACTCACGTAAACTCTTCTTGTTTTCGGGCCGAAAGCCGCTCGTAAATCTTCTGAGTGGACATTCCTCTCACGTTGCAATAGATCAGGCCAACTCCACATCCAATCAGGAGGAACCCTGCTACCATAAATCCAAAAATGTATAAAAATATATCCTCAAAAAACTCACCAAACCAGGAACAAGGACAAGAACTGACACAGATGAGGAACGACAATGACAGAACAGGGAGTGAAGGAACACACCGGGCTAAATACAAGATTTGGCCACGAGCCTGGACACCACGTACATGCCTGTGCCCACGCAGCGGCCCAAGCCCAGAGAAGTTGGAAGTTGAAATATTGTCTGTGTACAGACTTTTTACAGTTTAATTGATAACAGAAGGATTGAGATATGAGAGAAAGTGACTTAGATCGAGCTTGGGAAGAGCCTAATAAGTATAAATGACAGTGTGTATGTGTGGGGCTAAAAGTAGCTAAAAACCTGACAGTGTGCATGTGTGGGACTAAGAGTAGCTAAAAATCTGACAGTGTGTATGTGTGGGACTAAGAGTAGCTAAAAACCTGACAGTGTGTATGTGTGGGACTAAAAGTAGCTAAAAACCTGACAATGTGTATGTGTGGGACTAAAAGTAGCTAAAAACCTGACAATGTGTATGTGTGGGACTAAAAGTAGCTAAAAACCTGACAGTGTGTATGTGTGGGACTAAAAGTAGCTAAAAACCTCACAGTGTGTAAGAATGGGCATCACAAGTTTAGCAATACCTGCTAAGTCCCCAGAAATATAGAAACAGTCTGGTGTGGGACATTGTTTGTGAAATCTTGGATTTCGAGGTGATATGACTGTTCAGGGCCTCCAGGGGGCCATGCCTGATTTTTTTGGCTGCTGTAAACCCTACAGAAAGGCTGGGTCCCACTATGCATGTCCTGGTCTGGTGGTCCCACAAGATGATAAAGACAAGTATATGTGTGTGTGTGTGTGTGTGCGTGTGTGTGTGGGTATGTGTGTGTGTATGAGTGCACTTGTTTTCAACTCCTGGTGGGTTCCATAACCTGAGATTCCACTCACGTCATGGGGACTGGTTTTACGTGGTGGGGCCCGAACACCGGACCCCACTGGTCCAAGCTTAATAATCAATGGGTAATGCTTTTCTAACGGTCCTTATGCAGTCTCTGTAAAAATATGGAAAGGACCCCTGGAGGTTTACTTTCCTGAAAAAAGTGTGTTATGTGTCGGAACCCTGGTGGTGGGTTGCGGGATATCAAGGAGGGGCACACTGGGGCAATTTCAGTCCAGCAGGCTGGAGCCAATCATGGAGCAGCACAACAGAGGAAATCAGGTGTCAGGCTAGAAAAAGGTGCAAGTGTGTGGTTCATTAGGCTGCAAGAAATCATGGAGGAGCACACTGAAGCGCACGCTTACAAACCACTGGTAAGTGCTGACTACAAGTCATGACTTCAAATTGTTATATAGAATGATTACAAATTATTTGTTGTTTGTGCAGCTTAGTCAAGAGTCCCTAATTGATGAAGTCGACTCAGATTCTGACGATTTAACTGTCAAGAAGAAACCTGTAAAAAAGTATGGAAAAAGAAAAATCAAAAACACTTTTCTTCAAGACTCGGAAAGTGACGAACCAAAGGCAAATAAGATTGTTATCATGCAGCTGCAAAAGAAGAAAAATGGGGGGCGAGTATACAGCAAGAGACACTTCTGCCTCTACTGTTCAATGTCCTGCCACAAAATGTCCCGTCATTTGACTAGAAAACATGGAAATGAAAGTGACGTAGCCAGAGCATTGGCTCTACCTGTGAAATCTAAAGCACGTAAACTTCAGTTTGATTTGATCAGGAATAGTGGAAACCGTGAGCACAATTTTGAGGTTTTAAAGGCCGGCATTGGAACTTTAGTCCCAGCTAAACAGCCAAATTGCCCAGTTAAATCCAGTGAGTTTTTGCACTGTATAGACTGTGGGGCATTGCTTAAGCGAAAGTCGCTGTGGAGGCATGTGGCCAGGTGCCGGCTTTCACAGAAAGATGCCCAGGCTAAACCAGGTAGAAGTAGGGTCCAGTCCCTCTGCTCCCTAGCCCAGCCTGTACCGGAGGGCATCAGCAAAAAGCTGTGGTCTTTAATTTCGGCAATGCATCAGGATGAGGTCACGGGTGTTGTCAAAGCAGAAAAGGGGATTCTGAGACTCGGAGAGCACCTGTACTTAAAACACGGGCATGATAAGACAAAGCATGATTACATTAGGCAGAAAATGAGAGAAGTCGGTAGGTTAATTAACGAAGCAAAAACCGCAGGGAAACTGAAAACAATTAAGGATTTCTTTATTCCTTCCAACTTTAACCATGTGATTGATGCAGTCAGGTCTGTGGCTGGATATGATGAGGAAACAAATCAATACAAGACTCCATCCTTGGCCCTCAAACTCGGCCATAGCCTCAGAAAGCTAGCAGATATTCTTGAATGTGACTCAAAAATGGAGCATTGTGTTGATGAACTATTTATTAAAAACCTCCAACGAAGCCGGCTGCTTTTTGAGAAGAGGTGGGACGTCTGTGTTTCTTCTGCTGCCCTACAGACCCTCCGGCAAGCCAAGTGGAACACTCCGGACCTGCTCCCTCTGACTGAGGACGTTAGAGCCATGCATGCACATATTGAGGTATGTCGACCTGAATATGTGCAAACCCTAATAAGTGAGCCAACGTCTAAGCATTGGTCTAAACTGGCAGTTTTGACTCTTTGTGAGGTCATCATTTTCAATCGAAGAAGGGAAGGTGAGGTTTCAAAGATGCCACTGACAGCCTTTACCTTAAGAAGTAAGACTGGGATCCATTCTGACATTGCTCTGGGACTGTCCCAACTTGAGAAAAAGCTGTGTCAGCATTTTCAACGCATTGAAATTAAAGGGAAAAGAAGTCGGAAAGTGCCGGTTCTTTTGACTCCTGAAATGATTGCTTCGATGGAGGTGCTGGTGGAGAACAGAAGGGCCTGTTCCATCTCTGACCATAACCCATACTTCTTTTCCCGCCCGGGCGCAGACACCCACATCAGGGGATCAGACTCCCTACGCCAGGTAGCCAAAGAATGTGGTGCGGTGCATCCAGAGATGCTATCCTCAACCAAACTTAGAAAGCACATAGCTACTATGTCTACAGTTCTCAATATGAAAGAGAATGAGATGGACATACTTGCCAACTTCCTCGGCCATGACATTCGCATCCACAGGCAATATTACAGACTACCAGAGGGGACACTGGAGCTGGCCAAAATCAGCAAAGTGTTGATGGCCATGGAGCAGGGAAGAGTGACGGAATTCGAAGGAAAGAGCCTCGACCAGATACAAATTGAGCCTGAAGGTAATTCTTGATATTATTAAAATATGTATGATTTTTTTCCCCTAAAGGCCACTTGTATTTTTATTTTCTGTGCGACAGGGAGAGCAGTAGAGATCCTCTCACAAACGGACGGGCTAAAAGAAACTTCAAGCGGAGAACCTTCAACCATTCATCCAGATGCACCCCATGGTAGTGGCAGTGCCCCTTCTGGTAAGTGTACCAGGTGGGGGATTACAGCCAGGCTGCTTGGTCCTCACCCTGGGAGTGTATATTGCTAATATATTTTTATTTCTCTCCCTAGAACGTGTAAGAAAGCCATGGTCTGCATCTGAGGTGAAGGCTGTGGAGAAGACCATGACACCTTTCATACAGACTGGAAAGGTCCCTGGGAAGTCTCACTGCCTGGCCTGCATTAATGCCTCACCAGATGACCTTAGACATCGGACATGGAGTGGCATTAAATTCTATGTCAAAAATAGAATCACTGCAATTCGAAAACAAAATCTAAAATAAAATTCCTTTAAAATAGTTGTTTGGTTTCTATTGACTGTTTTGTATTACTTAAAGTCTTGGTAAAAAAAGATTATGTCTATGGGTCCCATTCTGAACGGCCCTGTCAAAGGGACCCACCAGGTAACAAAAACGTGTATGTGTGTGTGCGTATGTGCGTATTCCGGCCACACAGCTGCCTGGCGTGGAGGATTCAATTAATTTTCTCGTGTGGGCTTTTTTTGCCGAGGTCTCACTGAGTGTCCCCTCTCTCCTCCTCCTCTCTCCTCCTCTCTCCCCCTCTCTCCTCCCCTCCCCTCCTCTCTCCTCCTCTTTCCTCCTCTCTCCCCCTCTCTCCTCCTCTCTCCCCCTCTCTCCTCCTCTCTCAGAGCCGCTCCGAGCTCTGTCCGCGCATCTCAGCACCAGCGCGCCGCCACAATGGATCTACCCGCCTAGTATTTAGAGAACTTTCCCGTTCTTCTCGGACCAAAACTTGAAGTCAAACAACACAAACCAAATAGATCCTGCTTTTTTTGTTGTTGACACAATGTATATGCGCAGATCCAGATTACATTCAAGCGCACTATTGTTTCTCTGCCTTTTCTCATCTGTGGCGTGTGACCCATTCCCGTTCACCGAAGAGCCTTTTGAGAGGAGCGGGAAAGCGGACGGCTACTGCAGTCGGATACTCCGGGCTCAGAGCAGTAAGAAAGAAACCAACAATGAATTTCGCCTCCGTGTGGAAGGAGAGCCAGAGAGTTACCAGCCGGGAAGCACTTACAGAGGTAATCTTCTAAAGAAAAAAACTAACTCACGTAAACCTGCAGATAGAGCGCATCCACAAAGCATGCACATTGTTTGGTATTTGTGTCTGTATTTTTATCTGACACATTCATTTTATATTGTTTGGTTTTCTATTGTTCTGTATAATAACAAAATGATGTGAAAATTATTGATATCAAAATAAAATATTCTTTTAATCTTCTAGGAAACATAATATATCTTGCACAAAATACACTATCTTTCACTTTGTGTTTGCTTATTTACACTGTCTTTTGCACAATCTGAGTGATACTAAGTGACATGTACAGTACGTTTCTCCATTGTGAGATCAATAAAGTTTATCCTATACTGTGTGATAAATATTCCACACATATAGTACAGCTGGCATCCATACTCGTTCCTCCCCCTGAGCATTTACTTTCAGTGTTCTTATATGATCCAAATGTAAAACTGCCCAGCTCCTCAGCCAACTTGCTGCCATATGCCATTCTCTTTCATCGGTCATGTATAAACTACTATAGCAGATGCCAGTCATTTTTTTTGTTTAAGGATACAAGTTTCAGAAGTCTATATGGCAATGACTGTGGGCATCAAAGAGGTACAGCTGGTCTGATAATAACAAGAATACTGTACTGTATATGTTTAGGCTGTATAATGAAAATATAGCAAAAAATCGTACACATAAGGTTTGATTTAAATAGTAACTCATTATTATGTAAAGCGTTACAAGCTAATGAGAATGTGTATCTTAAAAGAGTGGATATAAATGCACTTGTACTGTAGCAATTCACTACTTTCTCTTCTTGTTTTTGTCCAGTGACTTTAACTGCGACTAGCTCCTCTTACTTCAGAGGATTCAGCCTCATCGCTCTGAAAGAGGGAGCCGAGGGAGACAAATATGAAGACTATATTGGGAATTTCCAGGTAAGAAACCACAAGCTTTAAAAATAATTTCACTTTCAACACGGGCTGAGGAAGAAGAACACACGCAGGATATGTGCTGTTGGTTTTGCCGAGATGATAACTGGCACATTACACAGACAGGTTCCACTGGAGCAGAGAGAATATGAGTGGGTGAGTAGAATTGTTTGAATTAAAAAAACACAGGCGGCAACATGCACCGTGCTCCTCAGCTTGTCAGGGTAACGATTATGTTTTTTTTAAATCATTGAGCAAACCTAAAAAGTAAACTTCTGAGTAAAAGATGTAGTAGCAGCTCACACTGTCGCATTGAGTGTTTTTCCAAAGGCGGCACTCTGAGCATACACATTCAACACAGTTAGAATCTTGTTTTTTAGGTTGTTATAAGGTTTATTTTTAGATTGCGTGACGGCTTCTTGTTCAGAGTGAGTTGCAATAGTTCTAATCCGTACTTTGCTTCCAGTTTCCATCTCTGTTCATTGATTCTCTGATATTGACTTGATTTTGTTAACTTCTTACATACTGTACATACGGTTATTCTAAATGGCTTTTGACTCTTCTTTGTAGATAACAAAGACAACACATGACACAGCTTGGTACCACAAGGTTTTATATGTTGATCAAATTGAACAGAAATGACTAACAGATTTCATAGTTGTTGAAAATATATCTTTGGACTCATAAGATAAGATTAGATAAGATGCACTTTATTAATCTCACACAGGAGAAATTTACATGGACATAAATGCATATAGACATAGATCCCCAACATGACTCAATCTTTGACATAATAGTTTGCAGATGTTATGCTTCTGGTTTGTTCAGACGCACTCAAAACACGATTGTTCATTTACAATATCCCACATTTACTCCTGGTTGTAGAAGAGCGCTGGGTAATTCGGCCTCCAGGCTCTGAAAGACGAAGAGAGAAAAAACTCTTAGCTGTATTTAACATGGGGCTCATTGGAAATCCGGTGGTGTGCCCCATGTCAGAAGAGTGCGGACAACTTCTGACTTGATGAAAAGGACTTTTATTGAGCTCTCTGGGGAGGTCAGCTGCCACTCTGTGTGTTTGTGCTCTCTGCTTTGGTGCCAGATAATGAGACATTACCTCTCAGCAGGAGAAATCACAGGACAAAAGAGGACAACTGCAACTTTTCCAGGTCAAGGAAGAAATTAGCTCTACATGTGGCCTGCTGTTATAATCTATTTTGTCGGTTATCTTAAAGAGACATTTCAACCTTCATTGCATTATTTTGTTGTAATTCTTGTAGCTACCAAAAGGCAACTTCAATTCACGTATAGTTTTCTTCAACCAATCTCAAAACAGGCACATTTTGTTTTAATTTGGATTTATCTACCAGTTTTTGAGTTCTTCAGTGGTTTTAACGTGTTGTATTCCAGACAAACCAGCTTGGGATGGTTGTGAGAAACCATGGGAACAGGAGTGGGTGGTATAATCTGTAAAGGGTGGACACAGACACGCATCTCCAAGGTTTCTATTCACAGCTTCCACTTTTGGGGCAAACACATTCATTACATGGTATGACAAAGGCAATTCTCCGCTGACAGCTTTACGCAAAGGGCTCAGGCGTCACCAGGCCTTTTCTCCGAGGTATTGAAGTCATGTCGTCTGTAGAGTCTGGGACGTGCCGAGTTCAGACTGAGAAATGATATAAAAGAAGAAATACAGAGCTCAGGGAGTTTACTTTATTCTACCCTTAGAGAAATTTGGCCCCTGCATTCAACGCCACCAGGTCAAACTGTCAGAAGCAGTGGTCGCTACAGTGTGTCCAGATGTTCAAATTGGTCAGGATTACTTTCGCTGGAGGATATTCCTATGGTTTGATTTTAGGGTGGGGGCAGAAAGTGGAGTGTCTGGAGGAAACTCCCCCCCCAGACAGAGGGGGGAACACATAAACCCCAGACAGATCCCTTACATACATGCTGGTATAGGCAGCAGCGGGGGCGACAGTGGCTCAGTTGGAAGAGCATTGGCCTTTAGGCCTGAAGGTCGTAGGTTCGAGCCCACCACGAGATCTATACTTCACGACTCCCACTGATGGCCGCTGTTGTTGTGTCTTTGGGCAGGACACTTAACCCCAATTTGCCTGAAAGCCTCAAGGCTCCTGTGGACTCACCACCTGCAGGAGGATCAGTGAGGGGCTGGTGCTCTGTGTACTGGGTGCAGCTCTGACTGCCACCCATCTATCCATCCATCAATTTTCTTCCCTGGGTTGGGGACCCAGAAATGGATTAAGGGGAAGAATTGATGGATGGATACCTATACCAAATAAATGTCATATTAACATTCGCCCAAACCCTATAATAAATAAAGTAAAGAGAATTTTTTCAAAGGGACTAACAGAATCAGAGGATTCTTTCTACACACAATACAACAATAGATTCAAAAGCAATTTAACTTATCATGTGAATGTTGACACTGCCAACCATTTTAATGTCTTAGAAACATATTCTCGATCGTGGGAGCATCACAAAGTTACCATAGTTACCACTATGGTCTAGGATCTGGATCACTGTTTAGAACCATGAATTTCTGAGGAATGGAACTGTGCCTCTTGGTGGGAGTCTGTGCTCTACGAGTACTTTTTTAATATGTGTTTGTTTGTACATTGCAGATCATTGATGAAGAAGAAACACAATTTATGACCAACTGCCCTCCCGCTGTCACAGAAAGCACTCCGCGAAGACGCACCACTATACAGGTCTTCTGGACTGCGCCCCCTAGTGGCTCTGGATGTGTTTCTCTCAAGTATGTCAATACTTTATAAGTGTAAATATATATGCAGTATATATGCATACACACACACACACACACGCGCACGCACACACACACAGACATGTATATGTATATATACTGTATACTGTATAATATGCATACATGTGAATATGCATATTATACAGTAACATACAACATGCTTGCTTTGATTGGGCTCGCAGAACTTTATATTACATTCTTTGCTGCCAGCTAAACAGGAATTCTCAATTTTCATTTCCACTTGGTTTCATAAACTATTCATTACTTTAATAAGTGCAGAACTAATCGACACAAATCAGTTCCATGAGAGAGAACCCTTGGGGCCTACATGGATTGAGATCATGTTGCACAGACATCAAGGCACATGTGTGTAAATAACTGCATGCGGTGAGAAGAAGCTCAACAACCATTAGCATAATTACATAATCTGGAGTTATGCCTTGCTGCTAAATGATTGTAAATGTTCAATCATTGGCATCATTTGAATATGCACTCCACCTCTGCAGTTTGCAGATCTTTTCCAGCAAGTCCCTGTCAAGCTTCATTTTTGCAGTTTTTGGAGCCCACAAAACCTGTGAATTTGAACGCAGGCGACACAGAGCTCCAGATGTAAATGAAAGAGATATTGGTTTTGACGCAGACTCAAGACTTTGTTCAAGTCTCAAGTCGCTATCTCAGGCTCTTGGGATGTGGTGATTCATGAGATATTTTGTGTGGGGTTGAGTCAAAAATATTGGTCTGAAATTGAAGGTAGTTCGAGATTGCAAAGTCAAATACAATAGACGCTCCTCTCTGCTGTATGAAAAGTCAGGAGGGTCACAGTTACTCAATAATTTGGTTTCTATGTCTACCTTGTCACTCAAGGTAGACAGTCGGTGCAAGAAAGTTTGGGATGCCGTAATACTTTCCCTAAGTTTACCAACAACTAAAGAAATGCATTCTGAGTCATTGGAAAAGCAGCATGATGATGTAATGCCCGAATTGCGTAATGGAATCTTGCCCATCCACTTAATAACATGTTTCTGAACAGTTGGTCATGTAATTTGTGCTCTGTGGTCTGTCTGTACATGTGACCAGCCGGACATTTCTCTCTCATGTGTGGTTTGCTGCACTATAATTGATGGGCAAGTGTCTATTTTTTATAGGATAGAAACTGCAACAACCCGAGCAGGTCGTCCACTCACTAAGTCAAGACTTGTTTAAGTAAAACAATCTCTTGAACATTGACAAACATGTTTTAAAACTAACCTAATATGCATGTATGATTTAATTTGTGTTCCAACAGGTTGTTGTTGTTGCTTAGTTTTAGCAAAGTAAATACTTTTATATGCTATGAGACTGAATGAATGGTGTGAATTATCAAACATTTATTGTGACAGAGTTGTTTTTTTAAATGTGTTGTATACATTTAAAAAAACAACCAATACTACTCTTTTTTTTAGGGCCAGCATCGTGCAGAAGCGAATTATTTATTTCCAGGATGAAGGTGCTCTTACAAAGAGACTGTGTGAAAAAGGTAGGCTGTGTTAGATTGTCGTCATTCAAAGGTCAAGTTTATTTATAAAGCACATTAGAAACTGCAGGCACCGTCTCAAAGGATACTTCATCTGGTTACAATACAATATGTACTATAACCAGATGAAGCACAAGAAAACATCTGTGGCTTATAAGATTGATAACTATACACACACACACGCACATGCACACGCACACACACACACGACACTATATCTGAACATTATAAAGCCCTTTGGGTGACCTTGGTCTTTAAAATGCACTACATAAATAAACTTACTTACTTACTGCCATGACAGAGCATATAAGGTAAAACCAATCTGTGAGACCAGGGCGCACCAGTTAGCGCTTTTGCCTCGGTGCGATTATATCTCCAGCCAGTGCTTTTTTTTGTGGAGTTTGCATGTTCTCCCAATGTCTGTGTAGATTTCCTCAGCATGAGTGCTGCTTTATTCGACCTCTAAAAACGTTTACAATAGTTCAGGGTATGTTTGTGAGTGTGATCGTGGGACAAAACATGCACATTAGCGCAGTTGGTAAGATAAGATTCATTATTTAAAAATAGTCACAAATACAAATATATGTATATCAAATCTATAAAAATAACAAGAGAGGATCCCAACTCATATTGGGTTAAAAGTTAGAGAATAACTATACAATGTTCCCAAAAACAACTCAACAACCCAAAAGAGAATGGATTGATCTAGTGATATTAGGTCCGATTAATTTTCTCCTTTGTTAAATCTGTATATATCCATTGTCATTTTACCAGCTGTTTTATTATCTCCACAGAGCCATTACATGGAGAGGTGACAGATAGGCCTCTGCCAGACTGCTGCGCTTGTGGAACAGCCAAATACAGAGTCACCTTCTTTGGGAACTGGTCAGAGAAGATTCATCCTAAAGACTATCCACGTAAGGGAAATGTGCTTTCTATCTCTTTGATGTTGACAAGGTTATTCGCAATAGTCAACATTTATATTATATTTTGGCTTGGATAAAGCAAATTTTTTTCCTGGGTTGGCACACTTACAGTAGTTGAAATGACTTTATATTTCATTGTCTTTTGTCTTTTTGCCAACTTTTATTGTTAGAACAAACTATTAACAGTTATCCCAAAAGATTTCTTTTTAGAGCTGTCTACTTTGTGAATAACCTTGAGACACACTATCCGGATGCACAGAGACTTGCGGATTACACCAGCTCTATTGTCTAAATCAGGATGTTGCCAGTCAGATCAATATACTGATTAGATGGAGCAAGATAAACCTGGGGATCGAAAAATAGCCTAATTTAATGTCTCACTGAGGTACTTTGTATGGAAACCACTCCTTCACACAAATAGATTAGATAGAATAAATACAGGTCAAGCAATGTATCTGTTCAAGCTATCAGACGCAGAAGCTTGGTTTCTCCTTGCACGGTCATATCCTAACAATCTCTCTAAACTCCAATCCATCCATCCTATTGAAAAACAGTGTCAATAGTGCTGATTTTTCCCAACAAATATGGAGGCTATAGTACGCCTTGGTTTTTCACCGAATGCATTCCACGCACATTTTATCTTCTTGTGCCTTTATGTACGGCCGCTGCCCAATGTTGCTTTGGGGCCAAGATTTTGTTTGTTTATTGTCAAACTAGGGTTAGAGTTTATAATGGTCCAATCCTGTTATAAAGTTTTTATCTTGTGTGCAGCAAAAAAAACACGAATAATATTAATTTACAAGTAGATATACAAGCGGTCGAAATGAGCTTCCTCCGCAGAGTGGCTGGGCGCTCCCTTAGAGATAGGGTGAGGAGCTCAGTCACACGGGAGGAGCTCGGAGTAGAGCCGCTGCTTCTCCACGTCGAGAGGAACCAGTTGAGGTGGCTCGGGCATCTGTTCAGGATGCCTCCTGGATGCCTTCCTGGGGAGGTGTTCCGGGCACGTCCCACCGGGAGGAGGCCCCGGGGAAGACCCAGGACACGCTGGAGAGACTATGTCTCTCAGCTGGCCTGCGAACGCCTTGGGGTCCCCCCGGACGAGCTGGAGGAGGTGTGTGTGGATAGGGAAGTCTGGGCGTCTCTGCTTAGACTGCTGCCCCCGCGACCCGGCAACGGATAAAGCGGAAGAAAATGGATGGATGGATGGATATGCAAGCATATATCATGTGTATGCTCGTATAACAGAAATAACAAAAAACCGGTATTTGTCCCAACTCCTACGAGCATGAAGCAAAATACTCTGGAAGATTGAAAAAGCACCTCCTTTACTTCCTAAGTCATAAACTGGTGAAAATGCATATTTATTTCTGACTTTGCAGGTCATGCAAACCATTGGTCAGCCATTATTGGAGCGTCCCACTCTAAAAACTATGTCCTTTGGGAATATGGAGGCGTGACCAGTGAAGGGGTCAAACAAGTGGCAGAGCTGGGGTCTCCCGTCAAGATGGAGGAAGAGATCAGGCAGAAGGTAAGAGAGAAACTTTCTGGACTTTACTTTTAATCCAGTGGATTAACTGCAGCTGACATGTTGGATGGTGCACCTGAGCAGCAGTGGAATTGTTTTGACACTGTAGTCTGCTGTGATTAGTGTTTTCAAACCTCTTTGCTATTCTTAGAATGCCAGTCCAGTCACATTGTACTGCAGGGGCTTCAAAGTTGATTAAGATTTCAGTTATTTTGACTGGTTCCAATCATGTTTCACTGACAGTGCTTAGGATTGATTGGGCATAATAAACTGTTACATAAACTATTTTGAAAATATTTTAATAATTGGTCGGTCAGTCCCTACATGCCAATTTTCGATCAAGACACTCTTCTCCTGTCTTCAGATAGCCCGTTGTGAATTTTTTCATGTTGTACTTTTCCCTCTCAGCCCTATTGCAGCTTTGTCGGAGCAGATGGTCCCACAGAACGTTTATTGTCGACTATTAGTTAAGATGTGAAGTCTCAGTGGATGATGAGAGCCTATGTGAACAGTGGGAACTGTCTGTCTATGACGCCCCTCTGCTTTTGTTCTCATCTGTGCCTGGATCATCAGCTCTATTACTCCTTAGCCCGGAGAGTCAGTTCAAAGATATAAGATCTCATGGTGCATGTGTGTAGAATACGATATACACTAAATGTGTTTTCCTCCTCTGCCCAATAAACTGACTACAAGCAGTTCTATAAAGGGAGGGAGATTCATAGCTGTATGGATGCCCTTTGAACCAAAAGTGTTAAAGAATGTTGATGTCAGGTTAGATGTTGTGACAAGTTGATTGTGAAAAAGAGTATGTGACGGACTAAAGCTATCCTTAAAGGGGAAATATATAACATTTACATCAACAAGATTTTAGAGCATTTTAATTTTAATTTTATTTTTTGTCATTATGTTACCAAAAGTTTCATTATAATTTCTGCACCATATTTTGCTATTGTTGGTTTATGACTATGTAGTTTGGTAACATCACAGCCAAAGAAAGGAGAAATCTTAACAAGGTAGACGGTTGCAAAAATAATGGTGAGGTGCCTTTTCTGGAGGCCTTGTTTTGCAGTGCATTATCTCTTATGGGTTAGACATGTAGTATGCAGTGTTTTTATTTCAATCTGGAAAGACTTGCACAAATATGTATAGAATGAGAAGTAAGTAAGTAAGTATTTATTTATATACCGCCTTTTCACTGCAGATTTGAGTCTCAAAGCGGTTTACAATTGTTAATTTTTTGTGCATTAGTCTCTCACTCCACATAGAGATGGGAGCGGGGTCGCCAGTACAGGAGGCGCATGCTAGAACTATTGGACATATTTTTAGTGGTAGGGGAAACCGGAGTACCCGGAGGAAACCTACGCAGACACGGGGAGAACATGCAAACTCCACTCAGAAAGGCCCTGGTCCGACCGGGATTCGAACCCAGGACCTTCTTGCTGAGAGGCGAGAGTGCTATCCACTCAGCCACCGTGCCGCCCAAGTAATAAGTTATGTTTGCCTGAAATAGATTGGTTGCCGCATGATTCGCACTTATACCCGACAGGCATATGAATAGTCCTTATAGATATGGATTGATGGCAGATACAGTATATCTAATAATATTGTGTGGGGGGAATTCAAATTGAGATTATGAAAAAGAAATTCTTTGACTCTGGTGGTAATGGAAGCTGATGGGATGATCTGTTGACAAAACAATATGTTCTGCTGGTGATGGGGAGGAGGAGGGTTGTGGCACAAGCAGAAACGGTTTAAATGTAGACTGATTGGCAGAACAAGCATGTAAATGTCACAGCTGCAGTTTATTGGTTTAGTTGCAGGAGAGGACTGATGTGAACGGAAGTGAGATACCAGTCTTCAGCACAAACTTTCGCTTTAGATTAATCAATGTGTTTGACTTTTGACTTTGAAATATGTGGTTTTAAACTGCAAATGGCATTGAAGCTGAACTGAATTGAATTAACCGACTGATTCACCAAACATGATAAGCTGTCATAATGTCATCACAAGTCAATTTGTTTGTTTCATCCTTAAATTGGCGATAGGCGAAAACATACTTTCTCAAACATTTCACATAGACTTGAGCAAATAAACCACCATAATTCCAGTGATAGCAATTCATCTTAAAAGTGAAATGAAGTGGAACATTGTTGAAAAATAGAGTGATAAACAGTAGTATCCGGATGACTTTAGCTTGTGCTTGTGTGCAGTTGTATTAATTGAGTCATGGCACAGGCCCAGTGTGTCTCTAATGAGAAGTTTAATGAGGATGTCTCCATAGGGCAGGACCAGGCCAAGCCCTCAGATGGATTATAAAATCTCCCATTTCCTCTCGCAGTGTGGGGTGGGTTTCATTATTGCGCAGCACAAACGCACACACAATCCTCCATTACTTCGCTCTGCAGCTGTGTCACAACTGAGATGAGAGCAAAACACGTTACAGATGAATAATCAGATGTACTGTACATTACATGGCAAAGGGAGTTGTACAAACATACATCAAACCAATATATTTTAGATTTTTTTTTTTTACTTAAAGGATTTTCTCTTGGACTGAGCTCATTTTAGTCTTGATGAACAGTGCTTGGATCCTTTGTGTTCTAGTCCACCTATTATCATCCATGTAATTCCTGTTTATTCCCATGTTTGATGTGATCAGTGTGGTATCAACACGTGAAACACACACATCCAACATAATAAATAAGATAATGTAGCATGTAGAAGGTCGTGGGCTCACATTCGGTGTAGTAAAGTACAAAAATGTATCTGAATTGCCAGGGTTTTTAAACCCAAAATTAAAAAAATAGTATTGCCCTAAGGCACATTAGCTCATACAGAAGAGGCATGTTCCATTAGTAAGCAGATTTATTATGTTATTTTCATCTTTTAGTTTGAAGTGTCACTCACAAGTCCTAATGTCTTAGATGTGTCCGATCTGTAGTAGACATTGAGAATTCAGTTGTCCACAAGAGAATTATGTAGACACAGAGAGAAAGAGGCGAGATGGCAGCGGGGGGCACGTCCCGATCTTCCACCCTGACTGAGGACATAATAGAAATCCCATACAACTCGCGCTAACCTACCCTCTGGAACATGATTGCGCACGGTAACTAAGCCGTTGTGCACAACATTTTCTGAATTCAACCCACACATTAAAAGGGCAGGCAGCTGACCCAGCCGCATCAGAGGAAACGCAACCCATTGGAGCGCCCAGTCACACCATTAGGCTACAGAAAGACAGTAAAATTCAAAACTAAGACAGACATTTTGATAAAAAATAAATAAAAACGCTACCTGTACTCTCGGGAAGGTGGAGGCTGGGAGTGGGAAGTTTGCTTGGCATAGGCCGAAGGAGCGCGAATTGAGGCATTTTATACCACCACGCACCCTCATGTGCCCTCATTAACAGATTAACCACATGCATACAATAACACACACATACGATCTTGTGTACTGTATAGGCCTATATACTCCATTCACACACAAAGGGGATGTAAGGCAAACTCCCAACATTAAAAACATGGACACACACAGTCACTGCCGCAGAACTGGGTACAAACGTTGTTGCAAAAACAGAAAAATACACATTTCAGCTTTTACAGCAAGCTTATCGACTCCGATGAGTGGCCCTGAAGGCCCCAGCACATTCCCAATGGCTGCATATGAAAACAGAATAACACCCTACACCTGTCGGTTTTCCAAGACTACATTCCCGTTGCGAGACTTGCTACAAGACTACAAGACTACATTCTTGCTGCTGTAGTAATGGCTGTGTTTACCACTAGCGAAGGGATGGGGAAAATGGAATCCACTGCTTCAGTGACCCCTACCGTCCCACCGATTCTACCGTTGCTAGGGTGGGGTGAGGCTTTTGGACTTTTGGCCCAACACTACGTTCCAGATGCGTGTCAATGCTGAGGGTAGTATTTTTTTTATTTTTTTTGGACCAGTCTAGTTTTGCCATTGTGAACTTTTGAATGCACTCATTAAATAAATGCGGCTGGTGACGGCTAACGCATGCTCAATGCGGTTTTTCACATTTTTGGTGGGTTGGTTTACAGACCAACCCACAGCCAGCTACAACATGTTCTGACCCCAGCAACTAGGGCGGCCAAACGCCAAAAAGGCAGGACACATTAACATTAGCGGCTACAACTTACAAATATTAGCAAAAACAACACTGTCTACCACCTGGAGCAGCAGGAGACCGGCGCGACCAGACACCGGTGATGGAAGTGCAGACATAAAAAATAGACACAACTGTGGCCAAGTCCAGCTTGCCAAAACCTTTATTCGTCCTACAGCGGGAAAATGTCAGTGTTGCAGCGCACATAAGCGCATAAGCAACTTACTTAATCCATCTTCTTGTTTGTAGTGGTGCAAGGAAAGTTTTCTTAAGAGCTGATTTCCAAAATGTTCTCATCACTACACTGTTTTCCTAGATTAGTGTTCTTTTTAGATTATTATAAAATTGGTGTCTTAAAAATATACTTTCAATGCTATACTTTAATTAATACTTATCTGTCTTTTGTTTTTCACCACTAACTGGTGTATAATGTACAAATGTATCATTGTATAATCATTACAAGATCATTCTACTGCATCTCCCTCACGGTTCTGTCTTGGAAGCCAGCATGTCTGTTCAAATACAGTGTGTTCATATGGTGCTACCTACAGGGATAGAGGTGATGATTCCTCTGATGACTTGTTTAAAAAACAGCGAGGTCTGCGATATCATCACAAGTGGGAGGCGGTGTGCAGCGTAGGAAGAGAATAATAGAAAATCAGGTTCCTTTGGGTCCTGAGCAGAATACCTATGATGTTGATGTTTTTGCATTTGCAGTAAGGTTTATTTTTCTGGTTTAGCTGGTTTCCACAGTTTGATAACACACATCAAGTATTTCAACGTAAGAAGAGATGCATATGCTGAGGCTAGAATGAATATGTGAGAGAAGACACTTTTTAAAGGTACTTTTGTAATTTTTACAGTTGCTCCAAATGAAAAAAAAACATTAACTAATAACAAATGTGACTCTTTTAAGAATATTTACCTCCACCATGTTTTTGAATTGTATTCATAGGCTTAGAATTTAACTTATAAGTGTCCATGAGAGAGGAGTGCTCTCTCTGTGTCAATGCGCCATCTTGGAAAACAGTGGTGGATAAGGGAAAAAAGACGCGAGAATCGCGTTTTTGTTT